TGTTATTGATAAGACCAAAGCTGGTTGTGTAAGAGCTGATCATGAAACCTCTCTGTCCTCCAAGAAGCTGCAGGGACTAGCCTTTGTCTCTCCAGGGATGCAGAGGAGTAACGTACAGTTACATAAGAGTGGAAAAAAATATATACTGGAGCTTCTCTAGCCATCAATGATTATGAGAACAGCGTGTGATGTTTCTGCACTCAGATATTCCCACTGTGGACGCTCACACAGGGAGCTTTTCATGAATATATAAAGCATCAGTACACCTTCACAGATGTGCCTGCACATATCATGATTTAACTTTTTCGCAACAGAATATGAAGTAGTGAATAATTTGTGTTTTTAAAAAAATATATATTTCTATTTACTGGTAATAAATACAAAAAAGAAAATCTGAGAATGCCGCCAAATAAATGTAGGGAAAGTCAGGTGTGGTGACGTTTAACAAGCTTCTGTTTGAACCCAGAAAGTTTCAGGGGAATAGAAAGAGACTTGAAAAGAATAGTTCAACACTTTGAGAAATATACTTCCGTTTCTTTGATATAAATATATCTGTACAGAGCTGGAGCCAGCATGTGGTTAGCATAGCTTAGCACAGCTTGCCTGCCTCAGCCCAAACGTAGGAAAAAAACACCTTCCAACAGCTAATGATAGTATTTCTCACAATGTTAAACATAAAGATTTTCACAGTCTTAAAGGCATTTTTTTCATTTGAAATACAGTTTGTTAAATGTCATCACTCCTGACTTTCCCTTAATATTACATAAAGGCAAAAATACCACCAACATATTATTCACTGCATTTATATCTTACTGTTACCTTGTGAGTTACCTTGATTACAGGTTTGCTAGCTCAACATCAAAATCATAATTACGACGGTAAAACTCTGAAAGTTTGGATGTATATTCAGCCTGTAATAATAGAGAAGTGCCTGAAAACATTGATGCTTAACATCAACCAACGTCTGTTGTTCAAGGTAATTATACCTAGATTTAATGGGTATACTTTTGTATTGTCTGTGCACAATATTTTAAACCCTCAAACAACAAACTGTAAAACTAATTATACAGACATCTTGAGATGTCTGACAATATGTTGTAAACACAGGAATCTTTCCCATGGCTACCATCCGTGACAGAATATGGGAACACAGCATGGTGCACAAACATGAGGCTGATATAGATTTACTCATATCAGTCTTGGAAAGAAAGAAACTAGTTACCCAAAATGTCGCACTAATCCTTTAAGAATATATGTGAAATATTTCAGGCATTAACTAAATCATTCTATCCTGTTATCATCACCCTGTTGCCAAAATAGCCGACGCACAATGAGTCATTCATCAAGCTCTAAGGGACTGCCTCCACAGACTCACACAGAGATAAAGGACCACTCAAGCCTTTTAATTATTCTTCACAAGCATTTGTCATTCCATGTTATACCCAGTCGTTCTTCATAAAAGCAGGTGATACCCAAGTAGATTGTGCTGTGTGGTAACTGAATAGTTTCTCAAGATAGGATTAATGGCAGTCTTTACACTTGACTGTCTGTAGCTGTGAGGTTAGGTTTGGTTGTGGGTCCACCGCTAATTTGTGATTAAAAGTATATATATCTATGCTTATATTTAAGTATTTCATCTCCAGGACGTACGGGCGCAGTGGGGAATTTGTGTAACTTTAATTTTTTTCTTTCTACCAGCAGCACGATTCCATAGAAGTCTAAAAGCTTTCTGTCAAAGTCATGTTGTTTATTGTGAGTGTGGAGTCTGACAGCAGTAATGTGATCGCTGATTTGCTTCCGTGTCATTGAAGCACTGAGTCACTGCTACATTCAGCCTCTGTGTATCTGACATTTTCAGACTACGCTGTTCCTGCTACAGGCAAAAACCATGCATCCATCAGAAATGGTTCAGTGATGAAATATTCCTCTATTTAGATGGATTTTTAGGAGCGGACGAGTGGCACTGATTTAACCACTGCAATGTGTTTGTGCAGTTTTTTTTTATTCCTCAAGAGGAAAAAGGACAGGCTAGGATGAACCCGCAGTTTAAAATGCAGCTGTGACTATAACGTCACACTATGCATTGTAAAGAGTGTGTCCTACGCATGCTCTGACCTTGCTGCCTGAATAGCAAACACTGATAGCAACCTACCATACATCACTGTCAAAGCACAGGATGTTCTAGCTACATCCAGGTAATCTAACCGTCCAAGTAACTGTGGTGTAATTTGTTCCGTGTTTCTTGCAAGCCAAGCAAAACGGCAACAATTTGCACTGCATCTTCTCCCTATGTGGTATTTCCTGGCAGTGGTGGTTCAACCATATGGAGCCTTTCTGTATCTCCCATTCACTTTGTACTCAGCTCTTCCCTCCCAGTCCCTTATTGAATGACTGTGTAATGAATGTGTGTTTAGGTATTATATGCTGCATTTCAAATGGTTACAAAATGTAAAAGTAACACTGCTGCTGTCACAGCACCCACCAGTGCATGACAAGATTCAAATTTGTTGTGATCATTTCACACATTTAATGGCATGTAGCTCTCCTGAAAGCTCTCAGTGTGCAGGCCTCCCACTCGCTGACATCAGTCCTCTATATTCTTGGACTTTATCGTAAATTCCCGGCTCTCACTCTCATCATCGTGCTGTACTTTCCGCTTATGTAACATTATGTAACTACATGATTTGCAGCTTTGCTGAAGGATGATTTTGGTGGATGAGGAGCGCTTGGCATTAATTCAAAGCCTTTTAGTGTTGTGCATCACTAAAGCAGCATGTTGTTGTTTTGTTGTTTGCTTCAGCTGTGAATTGTGAATTGGATCATCACGTTATTTATTTAACTCAAGTAAAGTGTGTTATGTGAGAGATTATGCGATAGAAAGCATAGCCCTGAGAGTTCAGGATGTCTTCTTAATGGCTCTTATGTCTGTGCGGGGTCAGCTGTGCATTAGAAGAACATTTCATAACGTAACAACCTTCCTACCCCACAGAAATAGTCAGCAGTCTTCAGCTGCTTAGTGGCTTAAAAGAGAGTGGGAGGGGAGTGAGGAAATACAGTTTAAACAACAAATGTGAAAGTTTGTGATCGTGCTGGTTTCTGGGTCAAAGCAGAATCAAATTGTTGAATAACATGAGTAAATTACTGCATAAATCCTACATGTGGCAGGATCCAGAGACTCAGATAAAGCTCAGATTTCCAGGCTGGACACAGACGGACATTACAGAGATGGAAAAGATACTGCACTGTATACATCCGTCCTCAAGAGTCCCATCTCTGGACATGTTTGGGAAACAAGCAAATCAATCAGTGTCAATTAGAGTTGGGTTCAAAGTAAACCACATCCTGGGAGTCAGACGCTCATTCTGCACTTAACAGCAGGCAACACAATTACGCGGCAAAAACCCTCTAAAGTGCTCAGGGTCTGAGAGGATGAACTGGTGCATATAAAGGGCTCTTACTGTCTTTTATCTATACCACTTTCAGGTACCCTCCTGAGCAGAGACTATCACTGAGCATGAGAGCGAGAGCGCTGCACTGGAAGCCCTCTGTTTCACGTCTTTCATGTTCCTGTCAGACACCACAGTTTGGGATGCCATTCTACATAAGTACACTGATCTTCAAAGGCTGTTTTCTGCTCCTTGCCACTGTTCATACTCTCATTTTTATACCCCTCTGCTGAGGTTGGGGCAGCAGGAGCTATGGCGGTCCTCATTGATTTCTGAAGGAGAGTGTGTGCAGTCACTTCCTCTCTCCAGCAGCCTTCCATAAAGGTGAGAACGTCGCACTTTAACAGCTGAGTCTGAATTACAGGCTCTGAGACGTGGGAGCATAATCACATTTGTCGTGCAGTGTGAATTGCAGGAGCAGGTTGCGGATCCTTTCTCCCACATCACTGTTGCGATGCTATATTTGATACTTCATTTGCATACACACAACACAACGTTTGCATCAGTATAAACCTGAAGGAAATGAACGTTCAGACAAAGACTGCGAAGACAGAAAAGAGCTCCCTGCTTCCAGATCACACGCCTGCTACAGGCATATGTTGTTAAATTCTTCATTGTATATTTTATCATGATGTAAAAAAAGATGGAATAAATCGCTGGTGACAGGGAATATTGATTTATAAAACAAATTATTACACTGAATGTTATTATATGAAATTTAGAATGCATTTTATGATTCTTTTCAGATGATGTTTATATTGTTTATCGCTAAGGCATAAAGCATGTTTCATATACAAAGGCAATTCAAAGTGTTTCATTTAATCCAGAAAAATCTAGTATTAAAGGGCATAAAAAAACACACACACACACACACACACAAAATAGTTCTTCTCAAGCAGAGCACTGGGATTTTAATCTGTGTCACAGTGGAAATTTCAAAGCTGTTTCATCATCAGTGGTCTGATTAAAAACAATGTGCCCTTTTAATCAACAAAGCTCTTACTTTTTTTCAAGAGTCCCTTTATGTTTCTGTTTCTTTATTCATTTCATCTCAAGTTTTTCTTACTTTTTCATCCAAACGCTGCTGAATATGAAATTTCTTTTATCTGAATGAAAGCTGGAGCATCACTCTGTATCAGTGATGTCATATATTGCTTACGTGCTTTTGTGCTCTTGCTCTTTGTGGTCCCAGTCATGACCAGTTTCTGTGGCAACATGATTTTGAAAATAGCTCCCCTCTCTAACGGCCCACTGCTGTCGCAAGTTGCTGCAGCCTGCAGCCCACTCTTGATGCATGACTCATTCATTGCTCATTATCATCCCACTCTCATTTCATACTACCCAGGCTCCCCTGCTTGGATATCTGATAGAGATGGTTGTGTGGGGGCGGGGTAGTGGCTACTATAAAGCCGGTGTATCCATGCTGCGATTGGCTGGTGGGATCCATTTAATCTGCTGTGACTGCTACAGGGTCCGCCCCTGTACTCCTCCCCCTCACTCCGACCGCCCTGACAGCATCCATACACAACACTGTGCTGTCTCTGTTCCAGGGAGAATATCAGCTCTGCACAGGGAGGAGAGGATTAGCGCAGCCACACAGCTCATCTGCATACACGTTCCCAGAGAACCACATGAGCACCGAGGGCTGCACCTCTTTTGTATAAAACCTGGCACTCCTATCACAGAGGCGCCACTTGATCTACTGTCACTGCTGTGAGAGGATTTAATAAGGACCACTGTAATTTTTTCTTTTGGACTCTTTTAAATGATTGCTATATTTTAAATTTGTTGTCTGTGATGTCTCTGTTCAACTGGGACAATGCAAGTAATATTGTTTGATACAGACTTGCTCTGAGCATCAAGGAGTTTTACCCTCATTTTTTTTGTACTTTTCTACTGGGTTTGTTCCTTCACCTGGTTTGGGAAACAGCAGCACCAGAATGCCATCTAGAGAGTCCTACGAGGTTCACAAGGAAGAGAAGTCCCTGGTGCAAAAGGCCAAGCGAGAGGCCAATCAGGAGGATATTCTGGCGGCCGCTCTGGGGATGAGGATGGGGCCACAGAAACCTCCAGCCACTTTCTGGCAGCCACTTAAACTATTCGCCTATTCACAACTCACCTCACTGGTACGCAGAGCCACACTGAAGGAGAGCGACCGGACACCCCGATCTGAGAAAGTCCACAACTTCAAGGTGAGACTGAATCAACTTTAGGAAGTCTTGTCAGCTGTTGCACCTCCAAAATGTTTCTTTTAATATCATCATGTGTGGCCAGAGGGCTGCTTCCTGTGCTTCCCTTGTGGAAGATGGAAGCTGGGGGGGGGGTTGTTACTGAGTGGGAGAGAGGATGAAAAACAGAGCTGTTTTGGACTGTCCAGTGAGCTTTTATCAAAAGAAAATCTGTTGGGTGGTCTGTGGACCACTGCTGTTGGTTTGAGCACCAGATGGACAGATTAGGCCAGTGGAGAGGGGAAACAGTGGAGGAGTGTATCCCTGTTTGGCTCAGGCTCTCTCTCCTAGTTTGGCTGGTTAATGGGATGGAGAGCAGGGGGTGAAATATTGCCTTCAAGGCTTTCAAACTGCTGATGCTCACTGGTCTATTTCTGCTGCTTTGTTCCCTTGGAATTGCTGAATGTTGCATTTCAACATTTTAAGAGCCACTGTTTAAAGCCTCCACAACCAAGCAGGAGTGTAACATTTGTGTGAATTATTAAGAGAATATTTTAATGCATTTTGTACCAAACAGATAATACGTTACAGTAACATCTTGGAGCTGAAATAGATCTGTTTTGCAAATTAAGCACTCAGTTTTATCTTTAAGTTTATCTTCTTCTTGTTTGAATTCTTTTACATGATTTGCTTGGGACTACAGGTACTGTACACCGGTTAAACCAGCACTTCAGTTTGACATTTTCACATCCCGGCCTCTTGAAATAATTACTCTAAGTCAATGCATTAAGCAGTGAGTGAGCACAAACTAATGAGATGTGTGTTAAATTGTAATCCCTCGATTCTGTAAACATGAAAAGAAATGGCACCTGACATCACTCCAGGTGGTCAGGAGCAGGGGGAGTTGTGGCTTGCTCTTGCTCTGGTTCCCAGAGGCCTCCCTGATTGGCCGAGCTATTGTTGCCTGGTGAAAAGTTGGGGGTTCCCTTTCCCACACGAGCGTGGTGGCCCTCTACTGTTTCCATAGCGAATTTCCCTGACGACTTTCACCTTCACTCCGGTGAAGTGTCAAATCCTAACTGTGGCATGATGGCAAAGCCTCCCCTGGCTGCAGTCACCGCTGCACCCGCCTCAGTATTGTCAGATTGAGGGTCTGTTTGAACAACAACCCTCCTCCACCCACAGACAATCCTCCTCCTCTGCCTCATTTAAGATGGCAGCACCTATGGGTCTTCCGGCCTGCTGAGGAAGAGGATGGGCTATCTATGGAGTAAATGGCCGCTGCCACCCGCTGCTCCTCCTCTGTTTTGTCACTGCTCTTCATCACTAATATCTGTCACTGTCCTCCTCTCTGTTGCAGGTCCATACCTTTCGAGGGCCTCACTGGTGTGAACACTGTGCCAGCTTCATGTGGGGACTGATGGCCCAGGGGGTCAAATGTGCAGGTACATCTTGTTCTCATGCTACATTAACACAGTGTTATATAAACTGCTTGATCTCATCACAGCACTCTCTGATTACATTCAAGGCGTACATAGTGACCGTTACTGTATATGGGTTACTTGGTTTTTAGTGCATCTGGAGCTGGATTATTCAGTTTTAATCTAAAGTCCCAACAGTAGTTTGTGGATTATGGGTTGTATAACAGAGTGACATTATGGCTCTATAGCTATGATGTAACAGGTACGTATGTTACACGATTTTGAGGTCTTATTTTTGACCTACATTTTTCTTCAGGGAGTTTTTGAATGGGGTTCTATCTGTGCTGACAGATTATTTCAACAATCTAAAAGATCATTCTTTACGCAAATTATTTAGATTTGATTTAGATTTTTTTCAGCACATGGTTGGGCAGTTCCTCACATCATCATGTCATTATTACATTAACAAGGGCTATACAGTATACATCCACGATTTTAATGGTTAAACATCAGCTGCATTAAAAACCAGAAAATATACAAACAACAGACGGCTATTACATTCTCGTGCACCTGAAAATATGTATGTTTTTAATCTCAGTTCTCTGTACTCTGATGAATGCATTATGTCAATATGAGCTACACATTTAAAAAAAAAAAAAACAATAATTCACAGCAACTCTGTGAGGATGTTCAGTCTTTTCTAAATATGTCTTTACTTTGTGTGATAGATTTAACATACAGGCATTCAGTCCTGTGACTGTTGGGGAAATGGTTCTGTTATATTCACCCGTTTGCTTGTCAGATACTCTGATGAGATTTCTAGTTCACTGTGGCTGTTTCTAGAATTCCTTTCCCATCCCAGAATAGTGCTATAATACAGTCTGATGTGTGTCTTTGATGTATTATTGATAAAACAAAGTGTGTCACAGAAATCTGTGGGAGCTCTGATATTAATTATTTATGTTTTGATTTTGAAAGCTCACAGCAACTGAAATAAAGGCACATATGATCGGAGTCAGTCTTTATCGACTCATATGTATCACCATTCCTTCAGACTCGAACACTAGCTAGAAGAATCTAGGGCAGCGAAGTCTCACATGATGCTCAAATTTGCATACCAAAAAATGTTCTTCCACCCCCTTTTTCTTTTTGTATGTGTGAACTGTTTTTGGCCGAGTGCCAGAAAGCCAGCCTCTGCTTGTGCTTGTTGTGCCACATTTCCTCATCAGAGTACGCCCCCCAGCCTCATCCCATCATGCCCATGAAGGAAAACAAAGCTGGCATGTCTCTTTAATGAGGAGCAGAGCTCGGAGCGTGGGGAAGGAGCTCTGTTTCCACACACATTAAAATTCAGCAGCTTCAACTAAAGAGCTAGGTCACGCAGCTCAACCCCTATTTAACTTAAACACTTGGTAGAAAAACCAAAACATCTAACAAGTACGAGTGGTGCTTTTTGTTTTCCGATCCAGTCAGAGAGAGACTGGTTTCAACTGGTAACTCGGTGGGTTAGACACAGTGATAATGTGCTGATTAGAAATTAGCAGCCAGCCACCAGTAAACCTCTTCTCAGAGCCCTTTAGCCGAAACCGAGCTGCAGCCTCCTCTCCATAGCAACACAGACAGAGCTGACGGTGCAGTAAAGCAGCATCCCCTGTCTCCTGGTGTCCCTTGGGCCTATGCCTCACCCTCACCCACCCCACCTGGGACCCAGGGCCATCAGTGTGTTCACATGGACACCAGGAGCTCAGCAGACCTGTGTCTGATGACAGGGCCTCCTCGATTATACTGCCTGTCTCATATCCTTAAGAGAATCATCTCTTAAGGTAATTACATTTCTGCATCAATGCATATAAATGCGGACCGCGTGAATTTCTCAAGGGACCCATATTAATCAAAATATTGTCTGAGGTCCTGCAGAGGCTTAGATTCTTAGCTTTAAGAAAGAGATTTTTTTTTTAATTAAAAACTAGTAAATCTTCTGAGGAATCAAAACGGTACTTTTTATGTTGTAGGAATCAAAAAGCACATGGCATTTGTCAAAAAAAAAAACCCTTTCAGAACTTGGAGACAGCTCAAAAGATCTAAGAGCTTGAAGAGCTGCCCCATTTTAGTCTGGGAAACTAGGTCTAGTGTAGCCCGCAGCGCCTCAATTGCTGCTTCCACAGCCATTGTGTGTGAGCTTGGATATGGAAAAGAATAGAGTGCAGCAGCGGCGCTGATCGTCCCTCCTCCAGGCCACAGCGTTTTCAGTGTTCCTCTAATTCTCTCCATGCATCTCTCTTACATCAGAGCTGCAGTCTCTCTCTCTCTCTCTCTCTCTCTCTGTGTGATTCTGCTCTCCACGGGCTCCTCTTTTCCCGACAAGGTGAATCCTGCCCTGAAACAGCTGTGCCTCAGGCCCCGTCCACTGTGTCTGAAGACAAAACACAATGTGGGATACTTGCACTGACACCATGACTAATGTGCTATTTAAACACCGAAAGAGATGAATTTAATGTCTGAAAATATGTTGTAGTGAAGAAAAAATGTCAAAAATGGGATTTCTCCACATTTATCTAATAATATTTAAAGTATATTTAAATAAGAAATGATTTAACAAAAAAAAATAAAAAAATAAGATTAACGTCCTGTCTTCTGGTTCATTATTGTTTTATTTTAATATTTTTGATGTTTGTGATAAACAAATAGCGCTCTGGAGGTGACTTTGGTGCTCAAGGTGACTCCAATGCCATGTGTGGTAGAGAGAAAGGAGCTCTCCAGTGGCCTCATGACATTTAGGTGACAAATATTGATCAAGGGAATTAACACTCCAGTGCAAGCCAAAACACACACAAAACCATCCAACCAGCCTGAAATTAACCTGATGTTGAATGTGAATTTACATAATAGTCGTCACTTCAGAGATAAAACGACTGAACCATGAGAAATCATTTAGTTTACTTTGTTTGCTGTTTGACAAATTTTATAGTAAAATTAACTCTACAGTGTACCGCTGTTTTTTTTTGTTTTTTTTTTTTAATATGCTGCAGAAATTCATGAACTAAACCTGCTGTATCTCTCTTTGTAGACTGCGGTCTGAACGTCCACAAACAATGCTCATCTCTGGTACCCAACGACTGCAAACCAGACCTGAGACACATCCGTAAAGTCTACAGCTGTGACCTCACGACCCTGGTGAAAGCTTATAATACAGCGCGACCCATGGTGGTGGACATGTGCATACGAGAGATCGAGTCCAGAGGTGAGTTCAGGACATGCGCGTTCGTCCACATGTGTATGTTTGTTTCAAATATACAGCTCCCCAAGATGTAAATGTGATAAATGCAGTTTAGTTTAAATGCCAACTGAATCACTTTTAAGCCCTAACAGCTTTAAAGTTAGTTAGTAATTGGCTGAGTGTAGGCTTTGCACTGAAGGATGAAATGCTGCAAACTAAAGAGGAAGAATTATGGAAGCAAGGAACAGCCATAATAATTTAAGTAACTGAATACCTAATTGTGAAACTCAGTCACTACTGAATACTTTTCAGTTGAAATTTAAATGGCATTGAATTTATAGCATTCTTCCTTTTTTTAAAAATGTTTTTATATTTTACTATTTTTTCATTTCCTCTTGCAGTCTTGTAATTTCCAAGAAATTTTGCTCTTTTTTTCCAAGTTGACAAATTCACACATTGGGCATATTGAACATTCAGGTGTTAAAGTGTCAAGTCTCCTTTCTAAACTTCTTCTTCAGGGATCATGTGACTGACATAATGCAACCTGATGACCTGAAAAGGGTCTGATTGATTAGTTCAAGCTTGATTGATTATCCATTATAGTCTGAATGTTCTGAAGTTTAAAATGTTTATCTTGACCATGGTGTCTGAATTCACCCAATCCAATTTGAGCACCCTAATTTTTTAAATTTAAATTTTAGATCTGAAAATTACAAATTGAATATGAGCAACTTGAATATCAAACAGCTGGATCAAAACCTACAATAATACTGCACATCAAGTTTTTTTTAATTGTACAACTTGAAATGAGCCTCAGGAAATTTTACAGAAAGTAAAACCACATAAATTATGATATAACATTGTTAAAGTCTTTCAAACTATGAATTAAATACTACTTAATTAATTCAATTTAATTTCTTAAAAGATCCAAACCCTTACTGCTTTCTTTGCTTCAATAAGACATTTAGAAGATTATTCTGGGACAACCTATTGAGCTCATGTCCGTTACTCTGAAATGGTGTATTTTCAGAACTTGTGTAATGTAATTCCTTTAAGAACATTCATTTTTAACATTTTTAGCTGATATTACACAGAAGAAAAACAAGTCTCTCAAAACAAACCCTTTAAAATGCTATTTGAAATTAAGTTTTTGGATCCTGTTTATTGTGTATATGATCCTTGTTGTAAAACAGCTTTCCTTTGATTTTACAGTAAGTGATCTACAATATATACTACTGAGGTTGAGATTGAGGTTTTAAAAGTCGGATATCATTACTAACTGAATTAAATGTTTTTTTTTTTTTTTTGGATGGGGTGGGGTGGGGGGTGGGGGGGTTGACTGGGAGGACTGATGAGTGTGCTGCTGGTAATTGTAAACCTGTAATGAGGAATACATTACTCTGTTTCCTGCTGCCTTTGTTGATTGCGTTTCAGTTAAATCATTCAACTATGTAGGAAACTCATTGCTCCCTTATTGTCTCCCCTCTAATATACATCTGTAGCTAAGTTTGATTTATGTCTTTATTATTTTACCCAGTGATGCAGAAAACTATTTGCATCTGCCCATGTTGCTCCATTGTGAGACATTGTGGACATTTTACCCTTAATTTCTTATGCATATTTAAGAGTGTTTAATGGCATTTCCTAAATTACCCAGGGCGATTTTGTGCAGGTGAATTTCTCCACATTACTTCTGACAGCGCTGCCGATGTCTGAAAGGTTGTTTATGTTTGTTCCTTAAGGACTGAAGTCTGAAGGCCTCTACAGAATATCTGGGTTTAGTGATTCAGTGGAAGAAGTCAAGATGGCATTTGACAAAGGTACGTCCTCCTTGTTTTATGGATTTCTGTCAGCTCACAACATGACATTTGACATTACATGCTTACATATGTTTGCATAAGACACACAAAACATTTCAGATTAATGAGAAAGTGACACATTAGTGAGGGATTAGTGTCCATCTGGGAGAGCAGATCCTATCCTGACACGTCCCTCTCACGCAGGGTTTCACAGTGTGGGCAGACAGGGAGGACCTGAGGGGATACAAACCATGGATTGTACTCTCACTGCCTTAAACATAGCTGTAAAAAAAAAACCTCTTCTGCTGTGTTGGGATTCAGTAGTGGACTTAGTGAGAATGAGCCTGTCTTGGCCCAACGCTGTGTGAATTTTAACTGTAAGAAAAACCCTGCAGCAGTGGGCTAAACTCTTAGCCAGATCCGCATGTGGGAGATCATCCATGACAGAGTGTCATTCCAGCTCACAGCACTGTGATGTTCAGTCTGCCAGCACAAGTAGGCCATGGCCTGCTCTGGAACGCATGCATAACCCAGGGAAAGTCGGAATAAAACAGGCCAGGCGGATGATAGCAGCTACTTTGCAAAAAGACAGAGCGAGAGTAGTATTTTTTTTTTCCACCAGCTGTAACACAATCTCTTTATTCTCCAATTCACACTGTGATGTGAAAGCGCTTATGTCAGACTTTTTTTACAGTTTGACTATTTTCTTCTTCTTATCTCCCTGTTTCCATCACACATCCTCACAGATGGCGAGAAGGCAGACATCTCAGTGAACGCCTATGAAGACATCAATATCATCACGGGTGCACTGAAACTGTACCTCAGGGATTTGCCTGTTCCCATCATCTCATATGATGCTTACCCCGGGTTCATCGAGGCTGCAAGTAAGTCAACAACTAGTCAAATTAGTTCGCAACACACCTCAATATGTTTGACTTTGCTGCAGTTGAAGATGGCAAAAGGTCACTATTAAACTTTATGTTAAACTTTAAAGTGCTGTTGTATTAGATTACATTATATTGCTGGTTGTTGTTATTGTATCTACCCTCTTGGAGCTACCCATCACAACTGCAATAATCTGCTGTTATTAAAAGCTTCAGTCATGCAGATTTTATGGTTGTTATCGAGTGAAAAGAAAGTGTTCATTATTAATTATGCAGAACTATGAAACTGCAGCCTTGTACAGCCGACCTCTCAGAATCAGTCAGTGACTTTCAGAGCTCAGCTCTGACCTGAAGTAAAATGTTCCACTCTGATTGTGCATCTAATTTGTGTCCCTAACTTGCAAAAAAAACAACTCTACATTTAAAAGCACAGGGTTAATTTGCATTAACTATACCAAGCCGCATGCCTTCCTCAGACTTCCTCTCAGAGACTAATGGGTTTTATTACCCCACAGGAAGTAACTACATTGATTCCTGATTGCGTCCTTGTGTTTTCTGGCCACTCTAACAGCATGATCCTTTATGTTTCCCAGAGCTCACAGACCCAGAAAAGAAGCTGGAAGCTTTCCGCGAGGTTCTCACTCTGCTGCCGCCATCACACGGTGAAACTCTCAAGTACCTCATGGCACACTTAAAAAGGTAGGGAGTGTGTGAAAATTATTCGAGGGAGGGGTTTCAGAAAAGGTGGTTGGTTATGTATTTTTTCTTTTTGCTGAAGGGGGTTGGGTAGTCAGGAGTTTGTTTTTTGTCTTTTTTTTACTATCCTACAGCAGCTCTCACACACATCTGCATCTTAACAGAAAGCTACTACAGTAAATTTTCAAAAATTAGAAATGTGTTACAGTCATGGATAAAAGAAACAACAATGGCTATCGGTATTACCCACCCATACACGCCAACCACCTGAGACTTTGTCGCTCTATGTGCTATGTACCCAACTTCCTCCCGTTATATTTACTACGACTGCTAGAGGTCTCCACACAATAAAACATAACTATGGGTTATAAAAAGATACTTCCACAGATGACCCAAGGGCTCAGTTTTTACAGGACAGTCTCAATTATTCAGTAAACAGGACACATCACTTTTTTATTTTAACGACTGCTAATCCTGCTTCTCTTGTGCGATTTGGTGGTAAAAATGATTACTCAGTCAATAGTGTTGGATTACTTTGAGATATTGTGGGGAGTGTGTTGCAACTTTTCTCTTAGTCAAGGGGAAGGTCCAAATAAAATGCACAACGCTGGGGAGGGCCATGCTTTGAAAAAAAAACATAATGTTCAGCCCCCCTCCCGACCACAGTAATTTTCGTACAGTTCCTGAAACTCTTTCACTCCCAAAATCTAACTCTAATATAACTAATATATATTTGCAGGGTAACACAGAATGAAAAATTCAACCTGATGAACGCAGAGAACCTCGCCATCATTTTCGGGCCCACCCTCATGCGTGCACCAAACCTGGACGCCATAACAGCCCTCAATGACATCCGCTACCAGAGACAGGTGGTGGAGTTGCTCATTAAAAAGGAAAATGTGCTCTTCTAAACACAGATCAGGACTTTTTTTTTTTAGAACGGTTCTCTAATGATTCTTTTGTGTAAAGACTTGATTGACTGTTTGTATTACATTTATTGATACATTTTTTTAAATGCCCTGTGTATGGACTAGTGCTGACCTAACATCTGTCCTCCCCTGTACTGGGTGTGGATGATGAACCTTACACTTGTACGTACTCTATGTCTCCCCATTTTTGTCGGGGGATTTTCAGAAGCTGACAGGCCAGCATGCATGGTGCGAGGTCTTTGTTGCTTTGTAGTCGTAACCTAGCATGTGTTAAAGATTGTGTAACGCTGTGATTTTGCTTTTGTCTGTTCTCTAGAGGTTATAGTCCACATTCCCAGCTGCCTGCTGCGCAGTTATTTCTGTGAAACATTGTATAGCTGGATGTAAAAATAAGCTACTGATTTTTCTGGGGTAATTTTTATGATGCTGTATTTTTTTATCTCCTTGACAGTTTTTATGTAACCTGCAGTTCTTAGTTGAATGAGCCTCTCCTGTTAAAGTGTACACACTGGTGCATTTGCCTGACCGTAACATTTTTATTGTGTTATAAACAGCATTATTTGTGAATTTAATTTTTTACTGTAATGTTTTTGTACACAACTTGTGCATGGTCACTTTAATTTATTAAACCTTACTCTGAGAAATGAAATGCTTTATGAGTCAGCTGAATTACCATAATAAAAAATCTAATTGTTAAACCTGCATTAACTATTTTATATCCACTCGGGGGCAGCAGAAACAAGCTGTATGTTTAGGTCATATTTCTGGCCACCTGGCAATTGCAAGTCCAAAATTCATTTTCATTTACTCCTGTTTTTGGTCTCCACCATCTCCTGAGGGATATTCCTGGATCTTTAGCACCACCATGATGACCAGGTAGTCACTGACTTTTTCTGTCTGCTGCTTTGTGCTAGGGAAGTTATTAGTGATGAGCAAAGCAGTTCTTTTCAGTGTCCCAACTCACTCGCATCAATTTATTTAAAAGACTCACTCACAGGATTGTTAAATTCTTGACTGGACCTCCAGCTGCGTAGTCCCACTCACTGAACTGAAGACCTATAGCTTGTTTCACATGACCGCTGGATTCCTGAACCGGAAGTGCTCTTGCTTTGACAAACACGCCAAACTCCATTTATAAATGTTGATATTTGAAATGTTTCCTTGTTGAATATCGGAGATGAACGCTGGTTTCCATTCATTTTTAAGCCTTTTTAAGTGATCTACTGTTCGGCATAACGCTCGAAGTTGCTGAGCCTGACTCTGGTCGCAGCCTCAGCAGCACCGGTGAGTCTGTTCATTCCACTCTCACACAGTCAAGCCAACCATTTTAAGTTTGTGTTTATCGGGGAACTTGAAGTTGTGCGTTGATTGATAAGGCCATTAATGATCTCGTGGTAACTCCCGGCTACATTAGCCGCTAGCCGGAGAAAAGCATGGGCTCCATGTGAGTGTATCCCTGTGAACAAAGGACTTGAATCCTGCGAACGAATCATTAAGTTCAGTCGCAACTGACGGAGAGCTCAACTGAACTGAGAAATTAATGTATCGTTTCAGGAAGTGATTTGGTTCAGTTCGTACACCCACAAGATTCGTTCCTTTGGACGAGACAAGACAAGATGTTATGTATTATTTTCCTGTGACAATCTGCTGGCTGCATCTGAGCTATTAACAGTAAAGTGGCGAGCCAAACAACCAAAACAAAGAGCTAAAAGACACTATAAAAAGTAAAGAATGTCATAGTTTTGTACAGCAAATGGTTCATAGTGGTAAACAAAAATCATATACACCTATAGGAGCAGAGATGGTGATGTCAAGAGTGATACAGATTTAGCCTGATGCTGCCTCTAAAATCAGTTGATTTCACTAAGGTCTGTGTCTAACCCTAACCTCCTCAAAATCTATTTTATTTTTCTTTGCTTAAAAAGATTAGTCTGGCAATATTTGATGTTTGTCATATTGTGAAACAAATTACAAGAAAAGACCAAAAAAACAATGATGAATTTATCTCACTAACAAATATTGACTGTAGCCAGAGCTATTGTTTATTACTCTGTGCCAAGAGGTGACATGTTCCATAATTACCATGAACTTCACTGTAGTTTATTTTGAGTCAGTCACACATACACTGTCCTGCTGCCATAAATACTCTATAGGGCACCAAATATGTGTTAATCCCCCACTAAAAATAGTCCCCAACAAATGCGCTCTCTGTTCCTGTTTGAGTAATGTTTGCTACAAGCTGTGCCCAGGTGAAATTACTGTCTTTTTAGAAAAAATGAAATTACATTCGTGACCCACTTTTAAATATTTCTGTCTTCAGTGTAGGAGCTATGGGCTTGCGGTTTAGTAATACAGAGAGGGAATGTAAGCTGTAAAGCATAGATATATAGGCTATTGTTTGTTTTGGTCTTTTTATGGGATTTGTTGACAATAGGACAAGAACACCAGCCTGATCCTTAAAATAAAAAATAAAAATTAAAAAATTAGGATCGTTAATGCTGCTTTAGAAAACTGACATGAGCAACATATTTGTTAGAGGCTACAAAATGACCCTGGCAGATAAGAATGATAGTCCTTCATTGTGCATATTCAGAATGACAGGTTGTGCCTAAAAGCCACACGTCATGTGACTGTACATAAACCCCTCTAACAACACATCAGTCACACTGATTCACTGTGAGATTAAAACTGATCACACAATACCTAAGGCAACAGCACTCTTGCACAGGGGAGACTGTTAATTACTGGATATATGTGCAAACATTGTCACATGAAATTTATGCATTTTAGGTTTAATTACCCAAAGCTTATGTCTTTTCAAGCAATTTCCAAGAACCAGCCATGCACAGCCATCGGTGGCTTATTACATGATCGCTGTTGCACATTGTTTAAACTCAATTTAAGTTGTTTGGGTACTATGTTTATCATATACCACATTTTTGTTAAATCCCAATTTTTGTCAGCAGTGAATGTGGACATATGAGCATTTAAACTGTATTATTATGGCAGGTTCACGTTCAGCCACTCCCTATGTTTAGATTTTTTTTGTGCCTCAATTTTCCCAACAAAGCATCTGAGAAGCAATCACTGCTTGACACTTAATCACTCGGGTTTTGTGACCACATCACACTGAGTTAATGTAAGCCGAATTCAGTCTTGTCTGCGGTGATTGTGTGGCAAAATTGGATTTTCATCCAACCGTTTAGCCTCCCCTGCCATTATCAGCAATTTTAAATATATCATACCTTCATCTACATTATGTATTGACTGTGAAAGGAGGTAAACCACACCAATAAAGCTATCGAGCTTTATATCTCTCCATCAGACGCCGTGATAACACCATGCTGGAGTAATGTCCACAAAATGTATTGTGTGGTGAATGTGCCTTATTCACAGTAATGAGACTAAATTTGAAAGGCTGTGATCCGTGAGATAACTGACCTTTCTCTGCTGACTGGATGTTAATGCTTTCCTCGCTGCGAACAGCTGACCTGAATACATTTTCAAATGTTGAAATATAAAGAAAATATTCAATTCAGCCATGTGAAGTATTAGAAATGGAAATATTTATTTATTGTGTTTAAGGCTTTATATAAACATAATGTTTGTGTTTCACATTAAACAGCTCCAGTGTAATTGTATTTAAAGGTAAATCGTGAATGTTTCTCTTCTTGAGTAAACAGTGCATTTTAACAAACCAGCCGAATTATTTTCCTAAAAAATAATGAATATATAAGATTTTCTCATCTAAGGAATAATGCCCATTGTTCAGTGTTTCTATATTTATGTTTGGAACATCAAGTAAAAATATGTAATTCAACACGCATCATAATCTCTTATATGAAAACTCTAATCCTCTTAATCTTCATTGATGCATAAACATCCAGTATGTTGTCCAGTTTTCATCCAACCCCTGCAGATATTACACAGAGACGCTTTCATTCAGATTCAATGAACATTTAATCACTTACAGAGCAAATATAAACACACAGCTTAACACCCTCCAGAGGCTGGAATCACAGTGTGAGACTTCAGAGTGTTGTAATGAACACTGGACGGAGTACAAAATGTGTCCGCTTGAGATGAGGTCGACTGAGCAGACACAATGATGGCTTGTCACGTGTTACAAGACGGACTTCGAGGAAGGCAAAGCGGTGCTTGCATGGTGTAAATTCAGGTGGCCTGAGTGACTGGGAACTTGGGGGGGGGGGCGTTGAGACAAATCTCTCTTAATTCAGACATTGCCAAAATGGTCATTTGTCCCTAAGTGAGATGAATGAGGCTTGTGGTTGAGTGACTGGCTGATTGAACGGATTGGGGATGTGGGGAAATTGAGTTGCCTGACCCATCACAGGCCTGACAGGGTGGGGTAGAGCAGAGCAAAGAAAGGAGACATGGCTGAAACACCTGGCCCCCAGGAAACACAAAGCTGTTTGACAATCTGAGTTATCTAACATCATATTATTGTTTATTTTTCGGGGGGCAACTGGATTTGAGGCGCACTGTGAGAATAATCTCAAAATAAAAGTATTCATCATTCACACTGAAAGGCTAAAGATATGACTGTATTAGATTTTCCAGTAACAGTTTCCTTTGTCCTTTCATAAACATTTAATAAGCCACTATTATTAAGCTGTAAGCAGATATAAGTGTTACTATAACTCCTGATCATAACTACTGTGATCACCCATAAGTGGAGGTTGCTGTATAAACAGATACTGAATGACAGTATAGTAAAACATATACATATACATAATATATATATATTATTATAAAGTGTTTAGAGATTCATGTTCCAGGGAAACTTTTATAAATACACAATAATTTGTAATAAATATGTAGAGGCATACATGAATACATATATACATGCATCTCATATACAGTGTATTCACTGAAAATTCATACAGCTTCAAGAAATTGATATTTATTCCCCAGTAACTCTTTTAATCTTGCACTGGCGTGCTAGCCGAGCAATATCTCAATGTGCCAAGAGCCTTTGGCGTAGCAAATAGTTAAGATTTTCCTTATCAGACAAAATCTTAAGTGCTGAAGGCAATTCTCATTTATATACCCAATATAAATGCATGCGCTGTCTCAGAATGAGGTCCAGCAGCTGTTTCTGGAACTCTGGATCAGATTTTCCTCAGCAAATGCCTTGCGTACACACAAAGAGCTTAAGAAATGGGAGTTTGAACATGATGGAGATCAGGTGATATGATCAAAAGCTCCAGAACAGCTTCTAAATGGACATTGTTATGAGATTGTTTTGTCAACTACAGTTTCCAAGGTCAAAAATGAGCTTGACCATAACCCCATTTTTAAATTTAATATGTCATACATCACCCAAATGAGCCATAACACATGTAGGTTTTTCCACAGAACATAAGGATACAAAGTAAATCATTATTCAGTGTGGAGACATCTTATTGAAGGAGCTAAACATTATTAAATGGACTGGCAGAATTAATAGTGTATCACTGATACACTATTAATGCTGAGGGTAGAGAACATGTGTTTGTGTGTGGCCAAATTCAAGATGAGATATTTCAGTGGTGGATTACTCTGGCATGTTGATCTTATAACACATGACGAGGAATGCGGCCCTCTCAAATGACAAGCATTGGCAGCCAGTCACTCACATCCGCTGTCAGACAATAACAGAAAGGGTGCCAGTGGAGAGCCTGGGGGTTGTACATTAAGTCAATTGCCAGCGCTGAAAGAATGTTTTAGGTGGGTCAAACCTTTTTAATTCTCAAGTGGTCAACCGGCAGCGTGTTGAAGTTGGATCTTGGTTTTGAATGCCTGGGTTTGTTGACAAGAATGAATACTGTGTTTTTCATTTTTCATCTAGTCATCCTAGCAGGTAAGAACTTACATTAAAGAAGAACTTACTTCAAAACTTCAGGAAATGTGTGCTTGTTATCTGTGGAAATATGTGTGTTTTTACTTGAATTAGCTTTAGCTTTAGTTTCAAGCAAATTGAAGTTAGAAAAGTTAGAAAAGAAAGTATGAAACCCTCTGTTCATTAATTATGTTTAATGAAACTGCTCCCAGGTCAGTGTAAGCTGGTGCAATTCAAACAACAAAACTAATGAGCAAATTTAAATTTGTGCAACCGAGCTCTTTGATTGACAAGGGCACGTGTACTGTTCATTCTGCTTTTCAACCTGTTGTGTGTTTGTCACCACATGAACTCACCTGCATAATTAATCGTGTTTAGTTGACTTCTTAGTTTACTGAGTTGAATGTCTTGAGAATCATTCAACCATACGGATAACATGTTGCTGTAAAATGACCTCCATTTCAAGGTCAGCTGAAAAATGAAAGGGGATCCGGCTCTGGCTTGTGACAGATATGCTGCGGAAATAGCGGAAGAATATCTCTATTAACGCCCCCTTACATGGGGTGCCATCACATGTTTAAATGCTGTATTGCCAAATTTAAACCCCCAAATCCAACACAGTGAATATACACACTAACATATAAATGGTATTTTCATCACAGGCCTACAGCTTTGTGAACATGTATTTGACTTCAGTTTGTTCGTAATTATCTCTGTTATATAGCCTAGAAATTTCAAATATATTCATATATTTTAAACATTTCCTTTTTAAATTAAGATTAATTGATGAGAAGTGCATTAAATAATCAAAGCTTAACCACACACACACACACACACACACACACACACACACACACACACACACATGCACGCACTAAACACACACCATGTAAAAGTGGGTCAATTTCATTCTACTTAAAAAAAAAAATGACAGGCCTATGTACATACATGTATATTCACAAACATATTACACCTATAGTATGGCACTTGTCACGTCTATTTTCAGCTCGTATTAAAATCACTTACCTCAAGTATCATATGGCATTAAGGGAATATTCTACTTTGGCACAGCATTTGGCAAACAACATTTTCCAACACACTGAAGTGGCACCTTGTAGAGCCAAGAGTCACACGTACCATCCCCCCTCAAGAAAGAGAATCATTTCAAGTAAACAACTATAAGCCTGTATCCATAGTGTCTTGTTTATTGTAGGCGCTGCCTGGGCCTCCTCTGATGAAACACATCTAGTTAAAACTCTCTTCACCGGTTACAATAAGGTCGTGCGTCCTGTCAATCACTTCAAGGACCCCGTGGTTGTCACCGTGGGCCTTCAGCTCATCCAGCTGATCAGTGTGGTGAGATCTCACGTCACACGCCATCACCCAAGCTGCATTAGACTTCACCGTCATCAACTGTCTAAACACATTTATCTGTGTCTCCACAGGATGAGGTCAACCAGATCGTCAGCAGCAACGTGAGACTGAAACAGGTTTGAATACATTGATATGTTCTTTTTTTTTGTTGTTGCAATGTCATAGAAAAAAGACAGTGGACACATCAACATATTGCAGAGCTCCTCAATAATCTACTAATTGAGTAAGAAAGCGATGGGCAAAATACATAATTATGCTTCAAGCAATAAATTATACATGAAAAACACATCCATGGCAAGGAATTGAATTAAAACACACAATTATTTTATTTAAGGCAGGCTGAAAACACATAGATTTGTCATGTCAAGTAAAGACAAACCTCAGGACTGACTACAATAATGAGCTTTTACACCACATGTGCTGTAAATTACAGAGAGTAAAGTTTAGTATGGTTAAAAGATCAAGACAACCCATAAAGTGAAATATTCTTGTTTGAGTTTGAAAAAGTCACAGATGAAATTCAAGAAAGAAAATTTTAAGCAATTGTGAAACTCTAAATTTATTATTAAATGCTCATCTCTACAAATGTGTCCCCACTTTGACAATGATGTATCACAGTCTGCACGATGTTTTCTCGTTTGCTTTTCTTTGCCCACAACAAAACATTAATAATGGTTGTCATCTGTTTTTTCAGCAATGGAAAGATGTGAACTTGCACTGGAACCCAGAGGATTACGGTGGCATCACAAAGATCAGAGTTCCCTCCACTGACATTTGGCGGCCTGATCTGGTTCTCTACAACAAGTATGTCATCAGGCTATATTTGTTCTATGTCATGTCCTTCTTTTCTTTCTAAAATCCTTTTATTTTTCATTACAATAAGCTTTATGTGACCTGAAGCATCCAGACCTCTAGGAACAATCAGCACACCTGTCAGTGGTGTTTTGACTTACATTTTCCTATGCCTCAGTATTGGGCGTGTGAAAGCTCAGATTTCATCAGGCTAAATCTGGCCTCTGTAGCCCCCCCCACCCCCACCCCCCCACCACACCATATGCTGTATCTTACACACTGCTGTTTTTCCCTGACAACCACACACCAACCACAACATCTTGTGCCAACCAGAGTGCTGGTTGGCTGGGCTGTGCAACAGCAGCAGCAACCCATCCTCAGGCACTGATGTCCCCCTACGTTAACATTTAACTTATTATCTCCCATGTTGATGTTGCCTGTGCTTGTCTTTGCCCGCAGTGCTGACGGTGACTTTGCCATCGTTCATGAGACCAAAGTGCTGCTAGAGTACACAGGAATGATCACGTGGAACCCACCTGCCATCTTCAAGAGCTACTGTGAAATTATTGTGCTGCATTTCCCCTTTGACCTTCAGAACTGCAGTATGAAGCTGGGCACCTGGACCTATGATGGAAACTTGGTCGTCGTCAATCCTGTAATTCCATTCAGACCAATTCTTGAAATGGATAGTTCTACATTTTGGGGAACACACATACCTTCATTCTTGCTGAGAGTTAAAAGTTAGATGAGAAGATTGATACCACTCTCATGTCTGTTAGTTAAACATGAAGCGAAAGAGAGCAGCCCCACCACCACTTCAAAAACTCACTAATTAACAAGTTATTGTGCATATTCTTGCATTAATCTGTAAAACCAACATGTAAAAGCAACAAATTCTGTTTTTTTGGGGGGGTTATGTGCCAGACTATAGCTTGGCCAGGTGTAGTTCCTTCCTGGAGTCCCATAAAACCGCAACTTACTTACTTACTATTACTTTTACCCTTTTTATTGTATGTTTTTGTACTGATTAAACAAATGAGATGTAACGTATAATTTTGTATTTCTGTTCACCTCTGATTTCAGTTTTTACGCTAAGCTAGGCTAACCACCCAATTGCTGTAGCTTCATGTTTACCCTACAGATATGAAAAATCAGGAAAAAGGAAAAGATTAGATAAGTGTAATTCCCAACATGTCAAACAATTCCTTTAAGCATATAAATGGTGTAAATCCTCACTTGTGAACAACAAATGGTTGAATGATGTCTGGTGGTTGTTGGCTGTTTAGCACTTTACACACCTATTAGTGCCAAAGTGCTTTACAGATGTGAAAAATAGAAATGATAAAAGTGAAAGACGTAATGAAAATTTCAAAGACTTTGAATTTAAAATCATCCTTTCATCACCCTGTTTACTTCTTCTCTTCACCAGGACAATGACCGCCCTGATCTGAGTCACTTTATGGAAAGTGGAGAGTGGGTGATGAAGGATTTCCGCAGTTGGAAGCATTGGGTGTACTATGCCTGCTGCCCAGAAACCCCTTACCTGGACATCACCTACCACTTCCTCATGCTGCGGCTCCCGCTGTACTTCATCGTCAACGTCATCATCCCCTGCATGCTCTTCTCCTTCCTGACTGGCCTTGTCTTCTATCTTCCTACAGACTCTGGTATGTTGATAAGTTCTACTGATTCAACATTGTGTCCTTTCACAGTGATTTAAGACTCAGTTATCAGTCAATAGGGAAATTACGACATAAAAGATGCAGTTCACAATCACTGCTTTTTTTAAATAGTTGTTTGATTTTTGCCGACCAAAAGCAATAAAACATGACATGTACAGGGAACACTACGTACAGACAGATATTTAAACATTCATTCATTACGGACCTAAAAATATACCAATAACAACATACAGGGGGAGGGGTGGGGTTACAATGTCCAAAATCCTCTTTCCCAAATCAAATCATATGTTTTATATGTCTGTTGTTAGCACAACAATTCTCTTTGTTGATTATATACAAAAGTCAGAGACCAAAGTGGGTAACAGTTTTTTTCTGTATTTTCCAGTTCATAAAGTTCAAGTACAAAACTGTTACTGGACTGAAGAGAATCTGCACATCTGAAGCAAGAGTTACATGAGTAGATTGAGACCACTCTCAAGCCTTTATGGTAGATACAAAGCTGCAGCGAACAGGCAGTTAGCTTAGCTTAGCTCAAAGACTAAAATCAGGGGATCACTAGCCTGGTCAAGGTAGCAAAATCCACCTTTACAGTGATGACAAGACTCCAGGAGATCCCTGCACGCCCAGGCAAAAGTTAGCCCAGCACATAATCTCCTGTAAATCTGCAAACTGTTGTTTTTACACTGGATTTTGAACAAACAAACAAGACATAACAAATTAATAAGTGAGTTTCAGAGGTGCTGGCAGTTGTTACCTTTGGACAGAGCCAAGCTAGTAGTTATTTTGTTTCCATTTTTTCTGCTAAGATAAGCTAACCAGCTGCTGACTAGTATGTTTGTATTTGATGGACAGACATTTCTCATCTGACTGTCTGCAAGAAAGCAAATAACTGTTTTTCCCAAAATATCTGACTAGAACATTAACATGGATTACACTAAAGATCATCCATGTTGAAGCCACAATCACTGCTTAAGTGTCCATCCAAGTATCAAGGTGTGATGTGCTATTTGTTTCTTTATTTGTTTATTTAACAGGTACCAGACAGATAAGCAATACATCAGATGTAATGTGTATAGGGTGTCTAGCTGAGGCAGCCCTGTCTCTGGTTACACTTTTAAATCAAAGTAAAAATAGCTAAGAACTGATGCAAGTATACAGATGCACACTGTGTATTAGAAGGAGCATTTTCCTCATTATTGATGTTTTCATAATATTAACACCATGTTGGACAAATCCTTTTCTTTAATACTGCCTGTCAGTCTGAGGTGTCTCTACTCTGGCAGCTACAGGAACTGCACTGCTTGTGTGCACATCTGGCCGTGTTCCCAGTGTGTAGGTCTGCCTCATTACCCAGGGTCCCTCTGTGCTGTCATGTCTGAAAGCAGGCCTTTGCTTTAATGTATAATACATCACTTGATCCCTGTTTCTGATATGGCTGCTGACAGGATAGTGTGAAGCTGAAGGAGAGGCTGGTGCCAAAAGTCTCTCTCTTAGGGATAACTGCTCTTACTGAGCAACAAAAACAACATGTCTTGCCTTTTACTTGTGTGAAATGGAGTCAGAGTCTGTTTACTTGTTCTATTGTTGGTCCTAGAAAAAAAAAGGAGCTGCCTCTCACGCTTTAAATATGATTTGCTTGTGTGGGTGAACAGTGCAGTTATTGTGTTGTTGTGTAAACACTAGACATGGACTCCTTATTGGATGACTGGGAAAGGGCTCACATATCTGACTCACAGAAACAGCTCTCCCTTGTGGCAATCTAATGAGATTGCATGTTGACATATGATGAGCCGACATACTCTATACTGTAGTTTAAGGTGGCTGATCCACATTTTCCACTTCATTGTCATAATTACTTCAACATGTCCTTTACCGTGCAGATGTCTTTAAGAAACAGAATGTGTTATTGTGGGTGGAAATGTTACTTGAAATTTTACTGATAAGAAACATCTTATCAGCTCTTCAGCATGTGGAACAGAGATGTACCAGTTTCCAATCCTTTTGCCCTGTGACACCGCAATTAAGTGGTGACCCGTTCAACTCAGGAATTATTTCATTGTGATGATATTTGAAGGATTTTCCATTCCTTGATTTTATTCAATAATTAACGAGAAAAAAAAAATTAACACTGTGTCAAAAATGTTATAAATTCATTAGTGACACTGGAAACATCACCCATGTAAAAGAATCTCACATTAAGGTCCTTCAAGCTTTCACATGAGCATAATCCGTCCACTGATGAAGATCATGTGCTACTAAATGGACCTTGAGGTGAGATTGTTTTGCCAAATGTTTTTTTCTGCATATTTCTAATTGGGTACTGACCTCCAGGCTTGGAACCACCCGTGTAAATGTTGTTTGATCACAAATATTTGTTATACAGAGTGCATATTGCATGACATTCTGAGCCTCATGGGGATTTTTAGAGAAGTTAAAAAGCCAGTAAGAGCAGTGACGATGGTTTGTTGTGTCTCCCAGGTGAGAAGATGACTCTCAGCATCTCTGTCTTGCTTTCTCTGACTGTGTTCCTGCTGGTCATTGTGGAGCTGATCCCCTCTACCTCCAGCGCTGTGCCACTCATTGGGAAGTACATGCTCTTCACCATGGTCTTCGTCATTGCCTCTATCATCATCACTGTCATTGTCATCAACACCCACCACCGCTCCCCAAGCACTCACACAATGCCAGACTGGGTTCGCACGGTGAGGACGGGAGCAGAGGGGAACACAACGATGACTTATATCATTTTGATTGTGGAGCTGAACGACTAGAAATAAATCCATCACATTTCCAAGCTTGGCAAGCTTAGGAAAACTATTCCTATCCCTTTTCCTCTGCATTACATTGCCATCTAGTGGTAGAAAGATAGAATAGCTATGTTTTTATTTTATCTAGCTGCTCTGATGCTGTATACTCCTTGACACAATGCTTATCCTTTGTCTTTTTATGGCAGGTTTTTATTGAAACCATTCCCAACATCATGTTCTTTTCGACAATGAAGCGTCCCGGGAAAGAAAAACCAATTAAAAACAACTATGGTGGTGATTTTGATATCTCAGACATCTCTGGCAACCAGACTTCTAGTGTTCCCTACCAGTCGCCCATCACCAAGAATCCTGATGTCCGCAGTGCCATTGAAGGAGTCAAGTACATTGCAGAAACCATGAAATCAGATGAGGAATCCAACAATGTAATCCATCTCACACAGAGAGTGTTTCTAATATGGTTCTTGAATGAGATATTACATATATATAACATACTGTCCCTCTTTCTTTCCAGGCTGCTGAAGAGTGGAAGTTTGTGGCCATGGTGTTGGATCATATTCTGCTGTGCGTCTTCATGGCTGTGTGTCTCATCGGCACATTAGGTGTGTTCGCAGGACGTCTCATTGAGCTGAGCATGCTCTAAAGGCCAGTGGCTTTTGTTTTACCTGTTTAACCTTTCAAATGACCAGTTTGTTGCTCAATGTTTTTGAAGCTGCTGAATGCTGTCCCGCAGCATTCACTGTGTATTCTAAGGCTTGTGGAAGTCCCTGTTTGTTTGCCTTTTGGTGTTTGAAGAGTTGTTCTTTTTCAAATATGTGCAAGAACATGTTGTACTGTTTATTTCCGCATATTTTATGACAGTGTTTTTGTTTTTGTTTTTTAAGAAATATATGTGTGCATATTTTAATGTTTAATTGGTTCAAAAGAAATGTAACTTTTTGGAATATTGTGCAGTTTATAGGGGACAAGTTAATAAAAAGGTTTCATCCATTTTCATGGCAACTGATTTGACTGAAATGTTGTCTTGATTATTGTATGTTGCCAAATCCTTTATGACCACTTTCCTGACTACTGTATGTAATTGTGTAATATTGTAATATGCTAGTAGTAGATGTAGAAATTCAGTTACCTATAATGCAATCGTACATGAATTCTGACAATAAAATTTGTGTGTAACAGGCTGATGTTCTGGCTCAGATACTCTTACTACAGTTGCTGGTGGTTTGTAAGGACATGGCGGATCTATTGGACAATAGCAACCAGCTCTCTGAAGCACTGAAGCCTCTCCAGTTATTGCCTTTCTTTACAGGGTGTTTACTGTTTCCCACTGCACTACTTGTGTAAATTTTTCCACCAGTTGACATTCAAATAGAAATGCAAATCTCTATCTTTGCACTATTAGCTCTAACAAATGTTTCTGCCTGGTTACTTCCTCAACTTCTGATGAAATTACAGAGGAAGGATAGTTACAACAAAAGCCCACTGAGTCTAGTTGCTCTGCAACTGTGTGTTAAACAGGCCAGTCATTAGCTAAGTTTATCTAATCTAATTTTATCTTGGTTTTGGCAGTATTGGTTCCATATACAATACCTTACTTTGAGGACTTTAAACATGTTTTGAATTTTTAATTCAACAAAATTTATCAAACCGCTAATATATCAGTGTTTAATAAAAAGCACTTCCTAAATACAATATAGACGAAAGTTAGAAATATTTCTGACCAAGCATTCCATACTGATAGCTGACAGTTTTTGATATTCAGTGCTATAAACATAATGTGGTTTGTTCTCAGGATGTACTGAAGCTAAGTTTTACCCCTTACAAGGCTCAGTATTTCTCTCTCACTGTGGAGATTGCTTTGAAACACCATAATATTTCGTAGAAAATGTAAATCAGCATTTAAAAGCTGCATTAATTTGTTGTTGTTATTGACCAAGAAATTAAACTCAGTCAGATAATGTACAATTATTTGCTAAGCCTGGATAAGGTGTATATCTGTCACCATTGGTCTTACAGGTTAAGCAGACACTGGATGACTGTGGTTTGTCTTCTCTCTGGCTCACACAAAAGTGTAACAATATTAACTGATTGAAACAAACTTGAACAGAGGCTGTAATATCAGTTCTTGCAAAAGCAGAAAACTGGGCTCAAGAAGGTCACTGAGAGATATAAAGGGTCGGTCATAACATTTGTTGTACTTTAACTGTGTGCTATTTTGTTATGAATGTATGTTCTGTTTGTGCAATCAGGCCATGTGATCATGGTCTTGTGTCTCATAAATAAAGTTTCTAAAAAAACATTGTTCATTAACCATCTTAAATGTATATAATATTGTATAGACAGCTTGAGTTTAGTGTTGTACATCTCCTTCCAGTGTAAAGAACTGCATGCTAGAAATGACTTAGTAATCACTTCCAGCTTGTCTGACTTCTGCAGTATGAGTAGATGGTGAGGGTGGACCTGCAGCTGATTCACTTCCCGTACAGAACAGATCAACAAAGTAGATTTAAAGTATGGACATCATTATAGATAGGAAACACGAATGAAGGCAGCTCTCAAGGACCCGAGCACATCATTCCCACGTCTAGTAGGCACACAAACACACAGAGGGAGAAGGACGAGGTTGGGGCTCCTGGGGGATTCTGTATTCCTGTCCAAATCATATTTTAAAAGCTGCAAAAACAAATGCACAAGTGATTCTGACTCATTACACAACTGCATCACATTTGTACATTGCACATTGAACGCAGAGACACGTCCTTTCAGTCGGAGGTGGGTGGGTAGGCTACAGTGATGAACTCCGCCCCTCTGCCCCGGCGTTGAAAACATGATTGGTGAAGTTGTGTAGACAAATCGCGGATTACGAAAGTTGCTGGGTGTGAACCTGAAGTGTCAGCTTTCTAACACAAAATATCAAGTGTTTTGCAGAGTTATGTGAACAGCCTTGTAACCGTGGACTAACAGACTGAGGATAAACTTTTGTCAACATTCAGCACCTTGCGGTGCCTGTCGACACGGCTTCAGCAGCTTAACGTTAGCTAGCTGGCTAACTGTTAGCTTCTCCCACCACCGGAGAGCTGACGACACATGGTTCATGAGAGAGCACAGCCGCTGTCAGAGAGGTGAGAGTGACTTTAATAACTGTATTAAAATGGCCGTGCTTATTAGCTATATGGTAGCAACTTTACAACCGCTCTAAAAGGAGCTATTTCCACCTTGTGATGATTTTAAAGTTACCCTTTATCTGTTTACCATTGAACCTGTTTAGCTGGTGTAACTACGGCAACTCCTCCTTTGGCCGTATCTTCCCTATTTTGGTATCTGGCAGTGCCGAGCAGGGACGGCCTTGACATTAACATGATCACAAACAAGGCACGATAAACTGTCACAAGAGGGAGGATCAGCACGATGGAGACACCGGGCAGAATCACTAGCTTCAACTTTTCATATGAGGAGGAGGAAGACCCGGACTCTCCTGCTCTGTCCCCCGCAATGTCCATTGACAAGCTCTTCCCGGCTCTCTTGGAGTGCTTTGGGATCATCCTGTGTGGATATATCGCCGGGAGGGCGAACATCATCACCACCACCCAGGCCAAAGGATTGGGGAATTTTGTGTCCAAGTTTGCCCTCCCCGCGCTGCTGTTCAAGAATATGGTACTGCTGGACTTTGGTAATGTCATCTGGTCATTTCTCTGGAGCATCCTCATCGCCAAAGTGACTGTGTTTTTCATAGTCTGCGTACTCACACTGATAGTCGCCAGTCCTGAGAGTCGCTATAGTAAGGCTGGGCTCTTCGCAATATTTGCCACACAGAGCAATGACTTTGCGTTGGGATATCCTATAGGTAAGTGTAATGCCTTAAAGCCTACCACCCACAGTGCTTCTCATTTACTGCTGCAACTGTAATCATGCTGTCTTAATGCTTGTTCATTCATCAAAACAAAAGTGTAATTATCTATTTGTTAAACTGTAAACTACCTTAGTATACCAAATTGGATATCACCTTTGTCAGGGCCCTGAATTATCAACATCGCATTCAAACCCCATAGCCACAAGTGATTGAAATGGAAAAAGAAAGTAATGTTGCTGTATTCATAGTCAAGTAGTCTTTTCAGGCTGTTATCAAATTAAAAACAAACCCATCTAAGCATTCCTGAAGAACTGGCCTTAGCTATCTTTTCCTTCTATTCATAATTCAGTGTTGGCATTTCCAATAAACAGCTTTTATTTTGCTTTCACTTCACTGACTAAAACTTCTGGAACTTACCAATTCGAACCATTGCTCTGCGGCTGGAGTCTCTTCATAGTCAGCTATTCAGACTCCAGCGCCATTTAAATCCAAACATCTGCAGACCTTGAAGCCATTTGTTTATGAGAGACTTGTGTACACTAGCATAGCAGTTTTCATGTTGGGGTTTATCAAGGCGGGTATGATGCAATCGTGTCAATATTTTTTTTTTGATGTTCTTGATTTTCTTGACTACATTTGCACCACATCCCAACATACTGAAACATTTGCCTTCATTTTTCTCCATAGTTGAAGCCCTATATCAGAGCACATACCCAGAGTACCTCCAGTACATCTACCTGGTCGCACCTGTGTCCCTGATGCTTCTAAATCCCATCGGCTTTGCCTTCTGTGAGATCCAGAAGTGGAAGGATGAGGGAAACCACCAGCAGAGCAAACTTATGATAGTGGGACTTGTAGTTTTACAGGTCTTAAAGAACCCTATTGTATTCATGGTTGTCATTGGCATCATCGCCCACTTTGTCCTGCACCAGACAATTCCTGCCTTCATGGCTGAATTTGTGGATGGCTTGGCCAATTCTTTCGGGGGAGCAGCTCTGTTCTACTTGGGTCTGTCCATGGTGGGGCAGTTAGGGAAACTGACCAGATCCACCGTTGTTACACTGATATTACTCATTACCGCAAAACTGTGAGTGGAAAACACTAATGTCTTCATTGCACCTGATGGCCATTTTGTACAAGAGATGACCTTTTTTAAATAGATGACCTTGCATTTTCATAATTAGACATCCTCTAGCAGTGTCAGCAAGTTAGAGCTTTATAAAGTCCTCCGAACGTATGCTTTGTGCTGATGCTTTGGATGACTCAGACCTTTCTCAGACCACAAGCCTTTTACCAAATGCATGACATGTTAAGAGGTGTCAGGAGAGTGTAGCATGATAACAGCTTGTGTATGTAAATATTTTAACACAATTGCATTTCACAGCATATTGTGAACTAACCCTCAAATAATGGTACATAACACTAATCTTTTGTTGTGTTTCAGGTTGCTAATGCCCCTGATTTGTAAGGACATGGTGGATCTGTTGGACAACAGCAACACCAGCACTTTGAACCACTCAAGCCTCTCCAATTATGCCTTTCTTTATGGAGTGTTTCCTACTGCACCAAGTGTGGCTATCTATGCTGTCTATTATAACGCGGAGCTAGAAGTTGTGAGTTGTTTACATCTACCCTCCAACCTTCTGTCTGCCATTCGGATACTGTGTCTTTGTAACTCACCATACATTATTTTCTATTCTACCTCCTAACAGGTAACCTCTGGGATGGTGATCAGCACTTTTCTCTCAGCTCCAATAATGTATGTTTCTGCCTGGTTACTTACAATCCGCTGGAAGGATCCTCAGTTTTTGATGAATGCACTGCAGAATGTCAGCTTTAACATAAGCATAGTGAGCTTAGTTGCACTGGTGAGTCACAACTAGCCACTTCCTATACATGGTTTTTGTTGGATAATCTTTTATAAGTTATTATAACTGACTTTCTATCATCTGATTCTTTTGTTTATTTTGTTTTATCTCAGTATGTGGAAACTGAGGTAAAAAGTGACGTTAAAATAGCCTCATAAAGCATTTGATAGAGCACGTTTTACTTCATAATTGCAAGCAGTTTGGCCTGCCATGATTGATGTTGACACGGTTCACTTTTGCTAGTTTCTATTGTTGAATTGTTTCAGACAAGTAAAGGTAAAATACAATTACACGGCTTACTGTAACATAAAATGGCTCCGTCACTTAGAGGATGTGTGAGTGAACGCTTTCCTGAGATACAGACTTACTTCCTCATTTATTCTCACTTTCAGTGTATCTTTTACAATACCCATATATAAACAATTATAATCAATGCAGTAGTGAAACGTTCACATTTGTGTTTGTATTCTGCAGTATCATATTCTTTAATTCTTCTTCTTCACTGTTTCTACTGCTTAAGTATGTCATTTTGTGGAATAATTCAAGCTATCCTTTGATGTTACATTGAACAACCAGCCAGCAAAGTTAAATGTTAGTTGTATGTCGCATCTGTGCAAAAGTCTTTGTGTTGGTAAACATGAATAATTTGAAATCTATGTGTTTTCTCTGACAGGTGTGGACAATTGCTGTCATGTTTTTAAGCAAGAAATTCAAGAGGCTACCTCACATGTTTACTGTCAACCTTTTCTTGGCACAGGTGAGCACACGTGCACATAAACTCTAAATTGGTTTTATTACCCTTTAATTAAACTAACAAAAGAAATGTAACTGTTAGTGTAACTTCACAAATGCCAATATTTGTTATGCTGTGGTCTTTAGTTTCTAACTTGCATTGGGATGATCCTGTGGAACTTTGTGGTGAAAGGAGACAACTTCATCGGGCAGGTCCTGGCTTTCACATTAATATGTACCTCGCTCTACAGTACTTACGTGTGGCCAGGTATGTTGTGAATGCACACACCCATCCTCCCACATTAGCCTCATATTAAACAGTATTACATTACCCAGATAGGTTTTGATATATGAAGTTTGATTGCTAATGTTGCAATGCATACTTTGTTGTTTTAGGTTTAATAGCACTCTCACTTGTGCTCCTGAAAAGGTTTGAGGATCTGAAAGTTTCACCAGGCATGTTCGTCATTGCAGGCTGGGGGTGAGTCACTTTATGAACAAAGAAATGAAACTACACTTGTTTTTCCAGTTCACTAAAAGGTATAATTATACAATATGAAGCCTAAAATAGAATTCACAGTTTAGCTTAGATTTATATATGTTAACAGATACTGGCTAAAACTTGGATCAAGAGTACTGGGGGTGGTTTTACACTGGGGTGCTGACACCTCAGTTGAATGTAAATGATAAACCAAACATTCCTGCAAATTTCATGTACAATTCAGTGTCACTGAGCTGGTTTATGTTTTACTTTTTGACATTGTCAGTATGTAAATTTTGTCTCTATTAACAGGATACCAGCCTTACTAACTGCTGTCTTGCTCATATCTGGGGAAAAAATGTCTGGCACGATTGACTCAACATTCTTTTATGGCAAACAGCAGGTAACAACATGAATGGCAATTATATTCCTGTCCTCTGATGGTTAGCATCTGTTTGGGAACCAGCTGAGAATTACTAAAACGTTTGAATACTGTGTTTGTGTATGTTGACAGATAATCAGCACCATAGTCGTAGTCGCCTTCAGCATACTGCTGGGAGGGGGTTCACTTGTGTGTCTCAGTAGAGGAAGCTGGGCCCAGAGTGACCAAGTCCAAGAGGGAAACTCTTCATCTGGCAGTGGAGAGAATCTTGTGACTGAAGTTGAACCAGAAAACCAGACTCTGGTTGAGCCAGTCACCCCATCAGGAGATCTCAACAGAGGTACTTTCCCTATGGTAAATAGGGAACTCAGACTCAAATTAATTTAATTATGATCTGTTTGATCGTTTCACTTTGATGAGTTTCCAAGTACAATAGTTTGGTGATAAAAATCACAGCACATGATACTAACATCTAAAATGGCTTGTTAGTTGTCAAAATCCAAGTTGGAGAGGAAAGGACGAGAATAATCAATAATCCAAAGTGAGGACTAACCCCTTATCTACATGTTGTCTATAGCAAACTTCTGCATAGGCAACGCAACTTCTGTCTGATGTCTGAAGCCTCTGCAACTACAAAATCGAAAAGTAAACATTGAAATGTTGAAAGTAGGAAGAAAACTTGTTGGATGTCATAATCTGGAGGAAACATTAAAGTGTTGATCAGTTTAGTTCCTTCTTTAGAATGAATAATGCATTATGGAACACATAATTTCCCAGAAATGAAGCTGTTGAAAATATGTCACATGACTTTGACCTATAATTGAGCCTCCACAGCTAAAGTTTGTGTTACTTTGAAAGGAGATGTCAAGAAAGGAATGTCAGCAAATGAGTGGTTAACTAGAGACAGTAACAGCATGAGTAACGGCTACTAATAGCTGCAAACCAGTGGGAAAGCGTTGAAGAGAAATACTTCAATTCCTGTGATATGAATGTGATTTGTGGGATACTTATTTTTTGGAATATAAGATGATTCCAATATCTTACAGCAGCTAAGTGTTGCAAATGTGTTAATAAAAACCAAGTAAAAGAGAAATAGAATATAGGAGAACATAGCAGTCAGATGGGTAGAAAATGTGAAATGTGAAACAGCATATATTGAATTACACTCTGCTTTACTATTGTGTTACTTAGTTCATTGAATTACTTACACATTGCATCTGCTCTCTGCTACTAGTGTGAACAAGGATGGTATTGCAATCAGTTTCACTTTTGTCACTTTGTTACTAGCATGCCTCATATGTGACTGTGCACAGCCGCAGCCCATGCCTGACATGATCATCAGCACAAATATGAACAACATACCAACCACACTCACAGGTATTGTATTGATAAGTAAATGGCATGCATTTTCACTCATATCAGCACACAATAACCATAATTATTAAACCTTTGTTTGGGGGAATACACTGCTTTTTTTTCTAAAATTACTAAGATACAATGTTTTAAATCTCTGTTCTGCTTCCTCCTCACAGGTCAATGTGAGAACAGGTGTGAGTCAACAGAGTGTCTGCTTGTCCAAGTGGAAGAGCTTCAACAGGTTGCAGATAGACAAGTGGCCCGTCATGTGCTCTTATGTCTGCTTCTGACTGTCAGCTTGCTTGCTGTGAGTAAACCACCACCTTTCACTTCTACACATGAAGTCGGCCTTTCTGCCTGCATTATTATATTTAGTGCATCACAAACCAAATCAGACACAAATGGCTGAGCTGTGTAATTTCTACCTCCTGTTAGTGTCAGAGGAGGACTTCTCCAAAGAAACCCATTCAGAAAACCCATTAAATAAAAACGTATTAAATAATACTAAATAGAAATACCATTACATCTTGTGGCGTGTGTTTTTATGCATTTCTGTGAGTCTAAAATATATTGAAAAAACTATTCACAACTTTCAAGGCAGTTTAGTATCTGTCACTGACACTAAATGAATTGTTCCAATGCAGTCACATTCACACAACTGTTCTTGTCAACAATATTTGCTAGTTTGTTATCTCCAACCTAAAATTCCTCTTACTTGCTGTTATCACAGAACTTGTCCAGCTGCTTGTGGTTGCTATTTAACCCCATCCCTGGTAGACTCTACTTGGAGCTGCAGTTCTTCTGTGCTGTGGCCAACTATGGACAGGTTTGGTTCAAATAATGTAGTACTAAGATTGTGAGTATATGTTGTCACTTCATATCAGTGTCACGACATGTTTTCTGTTGCCAGGGTTTTCTCTCCTTTGCTCTGTTTGGGCTGGACAAGCATTTGATTCTGTTACCATTTAAGAAGAGGTAAAGAACATTTACACATTACACACACAATATACTGTATGTACTGTGTATAGTGCATACTACACTAAATAGTATACTGTGTACATGCATTTAAAAATTGTTTTTGTGAATGGTCTTAGGTTATACAATCTGTGGTATGGAAAGAAGCGAGAAGAGCAGCTGCAGAGTGATTTACCAGAGGATATCAGAATGACCTGCACGCAGTTCACTAAATACCACAAAGACCAGTGTTTTCATGATATTGTTAAAAAGAGAAGGTGAGAGCACATAGTTGTACTCACTAGCTGTAATTCACAAACCACAATACTTCAAAAAATCATTTTCTGTCTGTGGGCTCTGTCTGCTTCTCCTCTGCTTCTTGTGGCTACCCATAAAGAAAAATCAATAGACCTTTGGGTGAATGCTTCTTTTTACTTTCAGGTGTGGAAAGAGGACTATGGTGGACTGTTTTTTTGGCTGTGAACTTGTGGAGTGGCTTCAGCAGGTGGGCTTGGCTCAGGACCGTGGTGAGGCGGTACTCTATGGGATGCGGTTACAACAGGGCGGTGTGCTCCAGCACATCAAGCAGGAATACGGCTTCCAAGACAGTCGCCTGTATTACCGCTTCATGACATAAGTCAAAAAGGTCAAAGTTGACAGCTGTTTAATCCTAAAGGTACATCCTGAGGTGGTATAACAGGAGGAACAAGTACTAGCACCCAGATTTAAAATTCTGTTTGCACTGCCATGCTGTTGTCCACACCCTGTACAGTACAGCATTTTACATTGCACTGTTGTGCGGCACAACATCACAGTTGGATGTTAGAACCGAACACATCTGACCGTGATGTTAGGTGTGGTCAGAAGCACAACAGACTTGAAACTAAAAGGCCAGGGTATTATGCAATGTGTGGAGTTGGTCTTAAAGGGAATTAATTAGTAAAGTACATGTAGAACATGTATGCTGAACAATGTATGGGGAAATTTTTAATCACCTTGTTATTTTTGCCATTTTACATTTAATAATTCACATTTTGGAATTGTGGCACCATTGCTAATCAGTCAGGGCAGAAACAAGAGCTTTCAGATGATACACAGTAAACTCCCTGATTAACAGTTACACCAAAAACATTTGTTTTGTGGTGAAACTGAAAGTGAGACTAACAGAAGTGGTAGTTATAATCTCTTGTGGAAAATCGAAACATGGACCTAACGCTTAATACAGTGCGTTAAGAGTTTCATCAGGAAGTCAGTCCTCAAATTCTAACAAATGTCTATCACAGACAGATTGGGCAATAATGTTAAGGTCTGTCACTTTCTGGTAGTTTATTTACATGTCTGTTCATGTTCCTGATTGACTCTTGTAGTAATGTTGCTGCATCCTTTAATGTGCAATGAAGCTGTTTAGTAATATTTTAACATGATGGGACTCATTCCTAAAACTAAGCTAGACTAGACTTATTGTCATGCAGTAAATATGTGTACTTGAAATTTGAGTAGATTTATTTCATGCCATTATGTGAGAAATAATCGACAAAAAAGGTGCCCTAACATGCCAAATTAGAGGTGCAGGTAAAAACTCCTACTCATCCAGTGAATGCATTTGTTATATTCATACACCTCAGGTTGTATTTTCACTCTTCTATCAAAGCTACTTTCCAGAGGAAAGAAGGGAAGTTGAGTCTTTATCCATTTTTATGGTTTGTTTGTTGCCAGTTTAATTTATAATTAAATGACTTTCACCAGTTAGTTAACTGGTAATGTAGCATGCAGCGTAAGTATTGTTGCTTTGGTTACCTGCAGCTTAATGAGACTTGATACTGACATAGAACAGTTATTACACTGTTTACCAGGACTAAGTGAGCAGTATGCACAAAGTAACTGGTCAGTTTGAAAAAAAAAAGTATTCTCCATATTTCCATGGCCTTCTTATAATTGTTTTATTATTTTTTAATGACAACAAAAGCAAACTGCCTGTTGAAAAATGGCCATCTCCATTAATAAGTCCTGACCATAATGTGGTAGCAAGGCTCAAGGACTGAATACCTGAATATGTGTCAGATCTAAGTGTTAATGGATATGGTTATTTTAAAGTGTTCACCTTGACTCTGTAAAACACAGTATCCTCCACATAAACATTATGTACTTGGAAGCCTCATGAAAGTGAGTTAGGTGCGAGCTGCTGTAATTCTAAATTTCTCTCAGGTTTATAGTAATATAATTAAAAATCTTTTTTTAAGTGCAAAGTTTTGTGTTTATTTGTGTAATAAAAAAAATTGTGTAAAAACATTTGTTGATATTTTTAATAAAAATACTTTAATAGAATGTGTAACACACAATTTCTGTCAAAGGCTTCATATTAATCAATACATTTTACAACTGAACCCTAAAATCATGTATCACATAATGAATAGGTACTGTCCTGTATTTTTGGCCTACGATTCTATACACACATCCTCTACAACATTTTACTGCCCAGGTATCCGGTGCTGCTTCATATTTTTTATATAATGATGTTAATTAATGTTATGTTCTGATTCACCGGGTTAATTATGCAAGCATGTTTGTAATTTTACCTGACTAAAAGTCAAACAAACCTTAGAGATATTTACTGCTACTTTCACTCTGGAAACCTGTTTTGTGGTTCCAACAAGCTGCAGTCTCTCAACTTTTGCTGTACGTAGCCATCTCCTCCTGGACAGAGCTTGGGAACTGATTTGCCAATAAATCAGGGTCCTCAATACCATCTGAAAGAATCTTCTCCATCTCTTTCATCTTCTCCTTTTCTAGCTGCCTCATGCTTTCTGTGATCTTCTTTCCTCTGTCCTATAGACAAAAAGACAAACCAAAAAAAGAAAATGTAGCATTTATAAATACATGTTGTGACCACACTAAACTAAATGACAAATTTAGGTAAAATGCAGAGTTGAATTAAATTGTTAAACCTTGTGGGTGTCAATTATGGCAGCCACTAGTTCATGCTTGACAAACAACTCATGTTTGCGGTTGGGCTTGCTCTGGAAGCGGGGTTTCTTCTTTACGGGGTCATTTGGACCATAACTGGGAGAGGTCGTCTCCTTCAGCTGATTAATGTGTTTCACAAACACAAATGGCTTGAATACAGACCTGTCATACAAATAAAAAATTCACTTTGTAAATCATTATAAACTCCAGTGAAAATAAGTTTTAAAGGATGCTTTACCAGCTTAAGCAAGGCCAAGTTCTTTACCTTTCAGGGTCTGGAGTTGCTGTAAAATAGTGAACGCCTGGCAGAGCAGGATTCGTTGGAATCACAGACACCATACTTCCTGTCGTCATGAACATGCCCTCCATGTTGATGCCACTATCTTTATCCCTCAGGATATCCATCATTGTCTCAGCGGTGATATGGCCTTGAGTAAACAAATCAAGACATGCATAAACAGTGGTAGAAGTCATTTAATGTTTTCCCCTGATGCAGTCCCACATTTCCACAGTGAAGTGCGCATAAACTAACCATTGCTCTTTTCCAACAACGCCTTCCCCTCACAGTATCGGCTCCCAGAGGCTTCTATTCTGGCTGTAGTCATAAAGGAGTAGACTGTAGCAAAGTTGAACTCAGACTCTCCGTCCCACCAGCCCTTGCTTCGTGCGTATTCCCTCATCTTTGGATGTTCCTTGTCTATCTTAGTCCTTATGCCATACTGGTTGGAGATGTTGCGATATCCAGCTACAGAGGGGTAAAATGTGATGATTAGCCATCAAAATGAAATAATGCAGCAACAATGCATGTAATGCCATTATTCAACAGCAACCTAAGCAGTGCTGTGTGTTATTAGAAAACTCTATTACTTCAGAATCGTGTAAGGCTGTTTTAAGCTGACTTCAGTTATGACTGCAGTAACACAAAAACAAAAGGAAGGTGGCCCTTAACTGCAGAAAAGTGAAAAACTTTAAATGCTACTGTAGACTGTGTTTTCAAGGCAGATGTCATTAATGAGTCTGAGAGTTAAAAATCCCTTAAATTTGGTTATTAAAGAATTGTGATCGATATATGTACTGAATGGGACATTTTACAGTTGAAAAATAAACTTGCCAGCGCTCTCTGGTGGTCACACTCTGTAATGGAGACACTGTTTCTGAACTACCTCAAACATACAGTGTATTTGGCATTTTGGACTGCAACTTATTACCATTTAATGGATGACATATGCACTGATACCAGTTTATCTGTGATAAAGTAACATAATTTAAATGGTGGGCTGCATTTGCAATGTGTTTTAAGTTTCAAGTTACAGCACAAACAGAGCAGGTTTAATTTCCTCCAGGGTCAGAACAAATAGGCTCCCATTCTGTTTCTGTAGGTCTGTCTTACCTTCCACTCTTTCCGCGGCCCAGTACTTCCCTGACGTTTCCAGCAGCCATGCCTCCTTCCTGTCTGAGATTAGGAAGCTGTTGTGGTAGGTGAAGCCACACTCATCTTCCATGCAAGATCCTCCCTGACCATATTTCTCCAGCAGCTCAGTAATAACATTCACTGCATTCTCAGCTGTGTCGGCTCTTTCAAGTCCAAGCCTGTGAAATTGCAGGGTAACAGATTCATGTTTTGTCTATGAGTGTTTCACACAAATTTATTCTGAACTGACAAAAGCCAGCTGAAGAAAGAATTACATGAAATCGTTTCTGGTTGGTACTATGTCATTAAATGTCCCTTTGCACCACAAGATGGGCATGATTTGGCAAGTCACAGAGGCTTGGAAATACAGACAACTCTGCGGGGGGTTTACCTGACAAGATCCATGCCAAGAAGCGCCTCGTCACCATCAGCACTCTCTCTGCCCCACACTGCCTCATTTCCAATACACACTTGATGCTCATTTGCGCCCATCTCTGCCCCCCACAGCCATGCTGGTCTGCTCAACACAACTGCGTAAGTGTGGGCAACCTGCTCAATCTCTATGTACGTACACTTAGAAGACAAACAAGACACAGGGGCAAAGTCTGTTAATGTTTATCTGATGGCTCATTCACCAAAGAGCAGACACAATGTGGGAAAGTGAAGGTTGGAGGGCAATAACAGGCTGTCTGTGTTACCTACCTCAACCTTCTCCTCTGCATCGTAGTTTTCAGCAGGAAAATACACCACCTCCTGGACTTCATCACAAGGCCTGTCAGAGTTTTTCCCAAAGATTATGCGTTGTCCCTCAGTGGAGGGGGGCAGAGCCACAAATGTATCGCATGAGGATGGGTGCATTTCAAATCACAAAACTGCTGAGAGTAAAACAGAGAGAACAACTCACTGGTTAGGTTACAAATACACAAACGTATAGGCCTATCTAATGGTCAGATTTAAAGAGCATGGTTACCTTAGCATAAGCAAAAACTGCAACAACACTAACTTGACTACACCTTAGTGATATGAGTTCAGATTTAGAGCTAAATGAGTATTCAGTGTTTTATTTGATGCCAGTTAGCCAGTGTGCAGTGTCATGTAATGCTGTGACCAGTACAAAAGGTTACCTTACCTATATTTGCCAGTCTTACCAGGCACTGTCACTGTCAGCGTAAGTTTCTATTCTCATCTCTGTTTCCATATGATTCCAGTCTCTGACACGGAAGCACAGCAGTCACGTGACCGAGATGAAGTCCGTTTTATATTCGTAGTAAAGCGAGTAACAGGCTCACATTTTTACACATTGTAACCTGTCTTCCTCATTCTAGATTATTACCTTGGCTGCTGGGATTCATAGAGCATTTACTATTTGCCTCCAACAGATCCATTTTGTATTTTTTAACATTTCGATGATCAGATAGGGAATAATTTAACATAAATAATGACTGACAATTTAACCTGTCTTTTTTATTGTCAAAATGGATAAGATCTGCCTGTGAAGCAAATGTACTCCTCTTTCACTACATGCGCAAAATTATTATTAATTATTATTATTATCAATGAAACAATTTCGTTTTTGCTTTATATTTTCCAAATAATGTAGCTCCATGATTGCCGTGTCATAATGTGTGTGGCATACAGGGGGATTTAACGCAGTTTCAAAAAAAGAAAAAAAAAACTTTCATAAATCCATAAATCCTTTACTTAAATTTACTTCTGTAGTCCGGTTGGCTCTCCTTTATCCAATGTAGAACTGTCTTCATGTGGGAACGTTTGTTTACAAGCGGGGGAATCTGCGCCAACGGCAACGCTAGCTAAATTTTAACACTACGTTTTCAATTTAGATAACCATATAGGCCGTCAGCCATGGGGAAGTCGTTTGCAAATTTCATGTGCAAGAAAGATTTTCACCCTGCGTCGAAGTCAAACATCAAAAAGGTGAGTACGAGTTACAGTGAAGACTGTAAGAAAGCCGATTAGCCTACTAGCTAACAAGCTATGCTTACTGTGTATTGCTTATGCTAGCCCAGGTTGCTAAGTTAGCAAGAGCCAACGTGACCCGCTTTCATAGTTAATTGATAAAAAATGTTGACCTCAGTCTAGAGGCTCTATTCTGTATGAATCATGGCTGTAGACAAAGCGGTGTAGTTGAATAAAGCCATGACTGCTGTTAATCGTAACTAAGTTAAAGTCACAACGTTCACTTAATCTTTCTTAAATTCACTGGTCTTTTGAGGGAGAGTCATTGTTAATGTTCTGAGCAAGACATCCTAGTTCTAAATCGTAAATTGCGTCTACGCTCGAAAAACAGAAGCTGACCAGTCATATCTAATAAACTGTACTAATAATTTTTGATTGAGTGAGAAATCGTATTCCATAATAAGTTCGAAGTGTCTTGGTATTTTTGTGCTATACAACCCACTGCTGGTTGTTAATGCAATTTAATATACAGTATGTGCAAGTGTTGTGTTTAGAAGTAGTAGTTTATGTATTTCTAGCTATATGTGCAGCCAATGGTCTGCAGATGAAAATAGGTTGGGAGTCCACTCTGCTACATATTAGTAATCGAAATTTATTTTTATACACATCGCTACACTTCACAATTCAGTGCAGAAGCCAAAGGTATTCAATTTACTACTGTGCAAAACAAACAAAAGAAACAAATCTTCACATTTTAAAGGCTGAAACCCTCAGATATTACTGGCAGTTTTCAGTTGGTCATCTAATTAACTGTTCAGTCAACTGACTAATCATCTCAGCTCCAGTACACCATATGGGGTAGGTACAGGGCAGTGATTGCATATGTGTGCAAGAATTGAACCTTCTTATGGCCAAATTACTTACGTAAGTATTTGCGTGTCAGGCAAGCAAGCTGGCCCTAAAAAATTGTTGGACATGTATGAAGAAGTAGGTCGAATATGCGCTATTATCCTCCTTTTCTCTGTATCTTACAGGTATGGATTGCAGAGCAGAAACTGAGTTTTGAGAAGAAAAAGCAAGAAGATCTAATGCAGGCATACCTGAAAGAGCAGGACACTTACAACAACAGGTCAGATAAATTTAAAGGACGATATATCTTGTACCTCACAATAACTGTTGTTGTCTTAATGTAAGATTTGTTGTAAACAAATCTGTAATTGTAAATGCAGATAAACACCATTAAAAAAGTGTAATAAAGTTCATAATATTGGTTTCTTACCTTTAGGTTGTTGATGGGAGATGATCGTGTTAAAAATGGCCTCAATTTCATGTACGAGGCTCCACCCGGAGCATCCAAAGGTAAATAATCACTTGAGCTAATCATCTGTGATCCCTACTAAATAGTATTTCCAGTTTCAAACATTTTCTTATTAAGAAAATAAGGCATTAACTTTTTAATTCTTGTTCTTTTTTCATAACTGTCATCTTTCCCTGAAGAGGAAAAGAAAGAGGTAAAGTAGAGAAAATAATTAACTTGATTTACATGGCTTTCCAATCATTCATAACAAGATATGTTTACATATTGAAATTCATAATGAAATGTGTTTATTTGTCAGGATGGGGAAGAAGAGTACAAATTTGAGTGGCAGAAGGTGGCTCCTCGTGAGAAGTCAGTGGTTGATTTTATACGCATTGAAATTTTCTGGCATATTGTCCAATGTTCCTCTAGAATATGTATTATTTGTGTCTTTCATTTTCTCATGCAGGTATGCAAAAGATGACATGAATATTAGGGATCAGCCGTTTGGAATCCAGGTACTTGATAGTTTGTAAGAATATATAACAAGTTGATTAAAAGAATGAGAAACAAAATGAAAAACACTATGTCTGTTTAACAAAATTATTTTGTTTTTCTCAGATTTTTGCTTTTTGTTTCTTGTGTAATACTTCCATGTAACTTTCATGTCTTCCCGGATCTATAAATGAGACAGTTTGAAAAGAAAAAGTCACTCTTTAGTTGCAGTGTTTGCAGCACATGTTCACACTCAAGCCATAACCTATGAAGAGGGGCTCGCATGTAGACATTGATTTGTTTTAAGGATCGAGATTGTGAACTACTGTATTACAAAATACACTGTGTATGAATTACACATTGCACTTTTTCAAAAATAAAACCAGAGCTTGTGAATTTGAAGTGGAATGTATTTTGCTTTTTAAAACGATATGTAGAGTAAGCTTAGGTTTAAATCATTATGCATGTATCTCCAGTATTGAGAGAATGGCAAGTAATGTCTGTTGTTGTTAAATTCATAGGTGCGCAACGTGAGATGCATCAAATGTCACAAATGGGGCCATGTGAACACAGACAGAGAGTGTCCTCTCTATGGTCTGTCGGGTATCAATGCCAGCTCTGTGGCCTCAGAGGAGGCAGCAGGTAGAGTACACACAATAATTCATACAATAATTGTGTAATACATCATTGTTAACATATCCCTCTGCAGTTCTTATGTTTTATGTGTGACAATTTTATTAATGTAATAAAATGTTAACATGCTTTGGTATGTACGTCTAAAAAAAAAAAAAAAAAAAACCCCACTATGATTTCATATACAGATTTCATTTTTATTGTGTCTTATTTTATTTTTATTTTTATTTTTATTTACATGAATGAAACATGACTGATTAATTGAAATAAGAATCAGCATATAAGCACATATGAATATTTGGATCAAATAGGATAAATTATCATTATATGTTTAAGTGATAAGTGATATGTTTAAGTTTAAGTGATATATATATATATATATATATATATATATATAAATACATTTTACCTGCTAAAATTTGCATTACCAATATGTATATATGTATGTATGTGTGTGTGTATGTGTATGTATATAATATATGTATATATACATATATATATATATACATACACATACATCTTTTTTTTTTCTTTTTTTTTTTCTGTTAAATGTGTTTGGGGTTGTGCAGTTTAAAAACAGTGGAATCATTTTATGTGTGTACAATAAGAACATGGATTCTGAATATCTGTGTGGCTTGATATTCCAGGCCCGTAGGTTAGGTTTTGTCTGTCACAGATGTTGCAGCAGGTACACCTACTGTACCTCTCCTCAGGTTTCAGCTGGAGCCCCCAGTCTTGAGCTGATTCTGAGTTCTGCAATCAGTGAGTTGAGTAGTAAAGTAATAATGTTTACCCTGGGAGAGTCCAGTCAGTGCATGGTGTTGATGGTGGAGTGCTGTAATGGTCCCCCTCCTGTGCTGGAAGAAAAAAATGTAATTATTGTGTATTCTGATTCCCCTAACTGCTGCTTTGGCAGAGAATGATATTGTATGATTTGCTCAGCCGGAAGTGGAGTGAGTTGATTTGATGTCCCATTCTGTTAACAAAGCCGCCCCTGAAATTCCCACTGTGGAGATAGTGGTTGGCATGGGTTTGACATCAATGGGACTCTGAGGCTGTGATTTGTGCTAACAGGTCCGTCGATGCACCCCTCAGAGTTAATGGCGGAGATGCGAAACAGTGGGTTTGCCCTGAAAAAATGTGTCCTTGGTAGGAATTCTACTGTTTGTGATCCATCGCAGGTAATTGTCTCTCTCGCGCCCCCATCATTGCACACATAGGACGCTATACGAACACACACACACATACTCTACCCTTCAGAGAGAAAAAACGAACTATATCTATACCTCGCATGTATAAATGCTGCAAAGTGTCCAGTTATTAGAGCAACAAAAGTCAAGTGAACGGATTTGATTATACAAATTTCCTCACGGTGTAAAGCTGTTCAGCTGATGTAATCAAATATAGATTTGCTCAGATTTGCTTTTGACAGCGGTACATTGTTGTTTTCATTTCAATGCAGATTTCAATTTGCTGTGTACCTTTGTAGGAATATGTTGCGAGCGATGAAGAAGAAGATCCTGAGGTGGAATTTCTGAAGTCATTATCGACCAAGGAAAAACAGAAGCTCCTCAGGTAAAAATGTTGCAGCTCTTAATATACTAAAGCTTAAAGGAATTGATTTGTGTTGTGATTTTTGAGCCAAAATTAAGTGATATTTTTTAACATGGTTTGAATATTTTTAAGCTTCATATTGACTCAGTAAGCTGAAAGGAAATCCCCGATAAATGTTCTGATGAATTACAAGGTTACCATGATGTTGTCCTATATGTTTGTTATAAAATTTAAGCACCTTGTGTGTTATTATTATGTGTATACATACACATATATATATATATATATATATATATAGAGAGAGAGAGAGAGAGAGAGAGAAAGGAGAGCAAACTGATATCAAACTGTAGATGTATTTACATATCAGGTGTTGTAAAATATATAAATGTATTTATAATTTGATATCACATTTGCTCTCCTTTCTGGTGCAGTGCTTTTTGTTTAGCTTACGTGTCCTTCAACATGTGATATAATATTAATTTTACTAATGTTGGACATCTGTCAGCTGCCTTGTTGGAAAATGTTAATTGAACAGAGATGTTTTGTTGCTGTTTTACAGAAAATTAGATCGCCAGGAGAAGAAGGCGGCCAAGAAAAAGAAGAGCAAAAAGCAGAAGAAGAAAAGCAAAAGAAAACACACAAAAAAGCATGAAAGTAGTGGCAGCTCCAGTGACTCCTCTAGTAGCAGCAGCAGTGATAGTGACTCAGATTCAGACAGTCATGGCAAGTTCAAGAGCCAAAAGAGAAAGAAGAACAAGAAAAAAGATTCCTGTCGGGATAACAGCTCCAAGAGCGAGCGTCGAGTCAAGAGTCAGAGAAAGGCCTCTTCTCACAGGAGCAGGTCACCGAGCCCTCACACAGGACAGAGGCGGCCTGAAGAGGAGCCCCGAGATTATAGACAAACACGGACAGAGAGGGGAAGGAGCAGGAGTCAAAATCGCTGCCCGGAGAACAAGATCAAGTCGGAGGGAGGTCAAGAGAGAAAGAGACACAACAGCAGGGACAGGCAGAGACCTAGCAGCTCCAAGTCTGGTTTGGACAGAAGTAGGAGCCGTGAGAGAGGCAGGGAGGACAGAGGTAAAGACAGGCGTCGCAGTGGAGATGGTGAGAGGAACAGAAGTAGCACAGATGGAAGAAAAGGCAGAACAGCAGATGGGAGGAGCAGAAGCAGGGAAAGGGGGAAAGAAAGGGAGGGCAGAGGGAGAAGTAGGAGTAGGAGCAGGGAGAGAAGAGAGAGAAGTCAAGACAGAGGTAAAAGACAGCGCTGATTTTTTTTTTTAAGACTTTCTTTGCTCTCATACAGTAACTATGAACAACATGTGAAAAGGCTTTGAATTTGTAATTTTTTTTTTGCCATTACTGTTAAGTAGTTCTCTCGGTAATCACACAGAGTTCCTCTATTTAAAATTCAAATCGCAAATATTGTGTATATGTCTCCTTTTCTTCCAGTAGAGGGAAGCAGTGGACAGAAAATCTCTAGATGCAGCTCATTGCACTCTTTGGTAGTCTTGTACTGTATGAAAGGGTCTAAATTAATTGATTACCATTGGAGGCAATTTGCAGCTATGATCTGTTGATGGGAAAATGTTGGACTCATTTTCATGGTCAGTTGGCTGCTACAAAGACTATTTCTGTTGCTGCAGTTTTTTATCCTCCTTTCGTTATTGTGTCTTTTTGGGGAGAAATATCGACATTGTAAACTGTAATGCTTATCGGCTGTTGACGCCTGCAAATTCACGACTTTTATTCTCTGATTAAATGTTTAATCCTCTCAGTTTAATGCGTTTATTTGCCGTGGATGAAATGAACGTCAACGTCATAGATGAGATGGAAAATGAAGATGTGGATTTTTTCAGTTGAGTGATTGGTGTATCCCCTCTAAATTGTCTTTAAGATGTGGACAACTGATGGCAAATTATTACACTTTAGCGCAAAATATATATATATATTTTTTAATGTTTCTAAAAAATACCGGCCGGTTTCCCTGAATGATATGACATAATGTGCGTTATCCCTAAAGCTGTGACACCTGGATTTTTTGCTGGCGTCAAACTCAAACAAAATAAATATGTCCAAATATTTTTGTCCAAACATCCACCGTAAATACAGAATATATTAGAAAGGAAGCAAAAGCTAGCATTGAAAGCTTGGAGATGAAGTAATGCTGCACTATGTTTTTTTTGTTTGTTTGTTTGTTTTTTTTTAAATTAATGCTGACCAGTACTATTTTATATTTTGATATGGATAAATCGTCTAGAATTTATGTATATATTTTTATATATATATTACATGTTATTACATTCTTCCTGTTATTTACAGTTTAAGGCCTAATATGGGAATATACCTAATTTGACACGTTCAGTCTCCAAAATTCGAAGAACAGTTTTGATTAATCCCAGCCTTTGTATATATCTACAATTAAATTTTATATCAAAAAACAAATATATGTGAGGTGCTAAATGTGTCGTCTAAGAGCTTAAATTTCAACATTTTTTCTTAAAGTGTTGCTGCTAGTGTTTTGGCAATCTAATTTGATAGTTTTCACTTTCTGGTCGTTTCCTTGAAGCCGCTGTTGCACAAAAGGAAATGAAAATAATTTCCTTCTATTGCCTTCTGGTCAATTTAACATCCTCTTCAAAAAAAAGAGGGTGTCTGGATGAGATGCTTTTCCCTGACGTATTCCAAATCCTGGACTCACGCTGTAATTATTCCCCGGCTTTTTCTTTGAGAGTCGGACGCTGCACTGGCTAAGCACAAAGAAGTCAGAGAGCATCCTTGAACCCTTTCAATACGGGGCCACTGATATTCAAATAACATGCAGGCACCATTTGTTTGCGCTGAGCAAGGACCATTTGAAATTCAACATTTGCATGTGACTCTTTGCCCTCTCTTTTTCTAAAGTTTAAAAAACTGTTCCCATAACATGTATGTGGTTTCTGGCAAAGAGAGGGAAGCCATATCCTTATTCTCGGTCCATCGATTGGTATGCAAATGAAAGCAGTTAATTTGGACAATTAGAATAAATATTCAGGGACCTTTGTCATCAAACCCCCTTGGAAACCCCCCGATAAAGTGAAACTGAACAAAAGATGTCTCGGAGATTAATTAGATATTTGATAAGACACGAATCCCTAATCGCAAATACAAGACACATGGGGCTGCGATGTGCTCCAAGTCATAATTAATACCATTTAACAAGATTTTCATTTAGGCATGAAATGTCTTTTCCGGGGCATTAAACATTGATTTATTCCATAGGGGAAATAGTGAAAGTCAAGGTATTATAGGTGATTTAAAGAAAAATAGCATAGGAACAGCACTCACGGTTTAAAATAATTTTCTAAATGAAATAAAAACATTTTTTTTTTCAATTAAAAACCTAACAATCAAGAAAAAAAAATATAAAATCTACATCACACAATTACAGCCTTTTTTAAGATGTTTTAATTACGATAAAATGAAAGTCTTATACGTGTGACTTTATACAGGTAAACATTTATATATATATATTTTTTAGCAAAGAAATAAAATGGTTAACCAAAGTTGAAAAAGCTGTGTACATACATATCCACAAAGTGCGTCGAAAGTAAACTCCCTGATTTCCAGGATACCAACACGAATAAAACAATCATAGCCTAACATTTACATGAAAATAACACATAGTTTAGTCGTCAATATACAAGATGTAACTCACACTGTCCAACCAAAGTTCAACAGGTTTTCGTGCACCCTTAGCAATCATCCATTTCATTTTCAAGTTGTCCCTAAAAATTTCCAGAGGCCTACAGTAAATCTCTCTGTGGTTTCTTTAGATGGATTTACGGATGAAATACTCGTTACGCCTGTGGAGAATATATTTTTTAGACATTGCAATCGCTTCTTGAAATATTTTCTCCTTTATTGTCTGTCAGATAAGACCCGTTTTCAATGCTGTGCAGTTTTGAATCTGTTTTGATTTGGGGTGTAGCCTCATTAGGGCTCGTCGTGAGGAGACGGATCCTTAACAGTGATTCTGGGATTTACCCCCTCCAAAATAAGTTCTGGGGACTCGGACCTCGGGGTCTCCAGGTTACTGGTGTCGGTGTCACTGTCGCTCCCCTTTTTGCCTCCTCCACCGGCCGTGTGCGTTTTGATGTGCTTGCTCAAATGGTCACTCCGCATAAAGCGCTTGTTACACACCGGGCAAGCAAACCGTTTCTCGCCGGTGTGGGTGCGAAGGTGTCTCTGGAGCTCATCGGACCGAGTGAACCTTTTGCCACAGAAAAGCCAGTTGCAGACAAAAGGCCGCTCGCCGGTGTGCCATCTCAAATGCGCTTTGAGGTGAGATGTCTTTCCATACACCTTGCCGCAGCCGGGAATGTGGCAGCTGTGGAGTCCCTTTCTCCGCAGACTGGCCCCGGCGGGTCCCAGCCGCTCAGCCTCCTGGCAGTTCGGGCAGTCACATGTTGCTCTGCCGGAGTACCGCCTGGACGACCTGGAGGAGCTACTTATTCCTGAGCTGCCCCCAGAAATCATGGCGTTGGCGGCAGAAGCGTCTGTGTAAGTGGGGATGACTGTTTTGAAACCGTCCTGCGTTAACAGGTGCTGACTGGTGGACAGTAGATGCGACGCAGAGGGGCTGATTCCAGTGGAGCTAAACGCCGAGTGGGTCAGCGAGGAGAAGTCCGGGTTGTAGCCACTCAGCTGGGAGTGGATAGCCTGCGGCGTCCCGGAGTGCAGCGAGGTCTGGAGGGTGCTTGCAGGATTTTGGACATCGAGCCACGACCCGGGGTTAGTGTGGACATCCCACCACGAAGACGCTCCGTTGGCAACATCACCAGAGATGGTCGAGTGGAAACCGGACTTGTACCACGACTCGTACGGGTGTGCCATCCCCACCCGCGGGTACAGAGTCTCTGCTGATGTGTGGACTTTGGAGATAAAAGCCGACTGTCCAGACTCTTGGGATGTGACGCTGGCAGAGTTGGAAAACAGACCGCTGTACTCTGTGGAAAATGCAGACGAGGTCGGGGAGGTGGAGGCTAAGCAAAAGGCGCTGTTGCCTGTGCCACTGGTCGGTGTTAGTCCTGTCGATGCGCGGCTTGTTGCTACTGTGAAACCGGGCAGACTGGATCCCAAGTTGCAGCTGGAGGAGGATCTTTTCCACGGATGAAATCCACCTTTTGAGAAAGCGCTCGAGTCAGGTAAAGTTGTAAGAGGACTGGTGTTACCAATTTTGTTGCAAGTTGCAGCCAGCATAGCTAGAGGTGTAGTTCCAAACCGTGGTTCTTCCTGAAAAGCACACAAAAAAGTTGGACTTAAAATAGGCACGACAAATACGGCTAAAAGACTGTGGTTTAACCCGGGCAGATGGGGAGCAGACGACGGATTCACAACAAAACAGAACTTGGAGGAAAGAATTAAAGCAACTGTAATTCTTGGAAATATATTTTGAACCGAAATTAATGTGTTTGGAAAGAGAGGAAGCGAACTACATAAAATTTTCTTTTACCCCGCGTATAACATAAATGGAACATAACGTAGGCTACGTAACATTTTTATAAACTTTCTTTAAATATTAACGAGCAGATATCAACTGTAAAGAAGGGAGTAGGAAATACTAAAACACTGCAAAGTTTGACCAGGTCTGGTTTGGTTAAGATGCCGCCAAAGCTTTATTGATATTTAACATTTTACCTTTCAATAATAGATAACCACCGAAACACGTAAAAAAAATGGTAAACAACACAGTGGTAAAGCTTGACTCCAAACTTTAACGCATGCATGTTTATGAAAGCAGTGAACGTTTATTGTTTTCGCCGTGGACAGTAGACTACAATAACTTTACGCACAACTTTTGCGCACAAATACAAAATCAGACTCACCCCAAGTATAGACGTAGCCATATCCAGGGTCTGTGCTGTGGTGAGAGTGTTCGCGATTTCAGTGCTGTAGCCTACGGCTCCAGTTTGATTCAGACTCACCGTGTTTGACTCGGGTCACACGGTTTCTCTCTTGGCTCGCAGCTCTCAACACTACCTAGTTGTAGAGAGCGTGTTCTTTGAAGTACAGCTGGCGAGGACGTGCAGCCAATCTAATAGCTGCATTCATGGCTGGGGGATGAAGTCAGCCAATGAGAGACTCGACCGCAGACAGAAACACCAAAAACCCCGCCGTCAATCATCTGTTGTGCAGCTTCTGCTCAGACTGTCATACAAGACACGATTTGGTATGTTTTTTTTTTGTTTTTTTTTAATGCATACAGTTATTTTTATGTTTTCTCACACGGAGGCTCAATGTCTCCTTTCATTGCAGATTTGAGCTCACAAGTCAGTTCTCCATGAGGTAAGCCTTTCTCTAATTTCAAAGCGTTTGTGGATTGTGGTGCCACTCTCCTCTGTGTAGTGCCAGATTTCCCTTCTGATTTTCAATATTCAGATCATGCGCAACACGTCATAGAGAAATAGTTGTGAGTCCAGACTATCCTGAACAATGTGCGCGACGCTGCTGTAGATGATGACTTTATCAGAACAGTCTATAGCCGGTGCATGCTGCATGTTATATTAGCGATGTTATATGCTCCATCTTAAATTTGTGCTCGTGTTCATATGGGAAAATCACAGATGGATTAAGTTAAGTGAAGAAGTCCGGGAACAGGCCTGACTTGGCTTCTCTCGCCGCGGTTAGATTATTTACGAGCTGTCTGAATAAAACGACTTGTCACTGAAGACGCGAAGAAAAAAAACAAACAGATGAAGTAAAACCAGATTGCAACTGATAAACTAACATAGAGTTTGTTTACTTCCAGCCAAAAATCTTCAGGCGGCTGTGCTCGTGCGCGTGTTCGTGTTCGCGCGCGGCCGTGTCTTACGCCCCCTCACTCCCCCCTTGCTTACTTGTTGGGGGGGGGGGGGGGGGGGGGGGGGGGTGTCCAGGTGAGGGGTTAATTAAAAATGACAGCTTGCTTTATCAGCGCGTGTTGCAGGTCTCTTTTAAAAGACAAGTATTTTATAGGCGGCAAAAAAAGTTTCAGCATCCAGGGGGTACCTGCTGTAAGGCCGGTCATCTCCATTAAAATGATTTAACACGAGGAACGATGCCTGTCTTGTAGCCGAGAAATAAAATTTAATGCCAACCTAATCACACATTTAATTAAATTTTGAACAATTAAGAAGATACCGTGTATCACCAATTTTCCTAAACTCGCGACTCTTATTCTGTATTTTTTGTCTTTTATTATCACGATTCAATAAGCCAGCATATTCCATAGCTTGTTAAAATGCTCAGGGATAATGGCACAATGTAAAATTGACCTGCTCTGATGTGAATCATCATCCCTTTAAAAGTTAAAGCAATTTTCCAGAGAAAGGCTTGACCGAAAGATGTGCATTACAGTATTCAAAACGGGCAAATAATGCTCCATTATAGAGTATGAATGCTGCCAGTCAACACAGGCGCAATTTGTTCAAATACTCCTTTTTTTTTTCTTTAAAACCCCACCTTTGGAAGGGTGAATAAAAATCAGTCTCATCAAATACTGAGCGCTGCCAAGAAAATGGAATCATTTTTGCAATCATGACAATTTGGCAGAGTGCTGTTAACAGTATTAAATGCCTGCTCTACATAAACAAAGTTGATTGTTGCTGAAAGAAGTTCAATTAATTCGAGCGTTAAATGAAAATTAACGCAGATTTCCTTTCAGTATATTTCCTTTATGAGAAATCGGAAAATAAAAATACCCTTCAATGAAGTTCACATTGTTATTATTTTTTTCTAAATAAAAACATAATTTCACCATTTTAGTTTGAAATTAATATTAGAGAGATATTACAGCCAGTGTTCCGTTTGTTCAGATGTCAATATTCTTCTATACATGATTATTTGTGTAGTATTACATCTTAATAAGGAGCAGTGTGACCTGTTCAGCTGGGAATAATGATGCCTCTTAGTCCTAACAAAGAAAACTGCATAGGAATCACAGAATCTTAATGCAACAATACACATACTTGTATTATTATATATCCAGCCTTAAATTTATTTGGAAGGAAATTTATTTGTCACTTTAACCTAGAATAATAAAATAATAGTACTTTTTCAGAGGATGTTTACCTGAGACAAAAGGAGGGAACATGATCTTACCTTGTCATTCAAGTGAGAATTTTGAGTTGAATCTGTAATTCTGGACTCCATTCGTGGGCACTTCTCTGTGGCAATTAGGAGCCTATTACAAGCCATTAGATTGATCAATGTACCTTAAACAATGGGAATGATTTATATGGTCGAACAAAACGCTCTGCACCTATTGTGATGAGTCTAAGTGGGGGTGCATCCATCAACAAAAGATAAATGATTAATTCAGACCTATTCATTTAAATTCTTTCGACAAAGCCAGCCCCACTTGCTTCAAATCCAGATTATTAGAGCCTCATTTTCTGCATGTTAAACTAGACAGGCTGCTGGATTGGGTGATGGTTTTTGGTTGTGCCCCTGTGTGTTTTAATTTGTATTTCTGCTGCAGGAAGTTTATTTGAGGACATTTAACTAATTGTAGTGATTTTGTGTGTTCATGTGGCTACACCTGTTTCTCCCAAAGGGGGGTTGGAGGAAACTATGAGTGCAAGGATGTTATACTTTATTTCTCTGGTGCTGAGGCTGTATGTTGTTGTCTGATGACTAGTTGATCAGAGGGCGCTTACTGAATAAAAAAAAAAAAAAAAGTGGCCACAAGTATGGAGATTTTGTCAAGATGCTTTTACTACTTATTTTTCTTACAGATATTTTTGGGTTGTGATCGTACCTTGCAAAATACAAACAATGCTAAAAACAGTGTTTATTCCTCTTCAATTTGTTATTGGTGGTCTTAACTCCAAACTGGTGTCTTTGTCTCATCTGCTGTTTCCCATGAGTTTGTTTTATTGCTTGCACTTTAAGGTTGCCAGGTCATTATTTATTTTGGTGGCAGGTGTACAGAGGCCACAGCAAGGAAACTGAATCGACACACATTAAAGTGCATTGAGAAATAAAGAGTAAGGATTTATTTCTATATGAAGTGAATAAGCTATGAAGCAAGGGGACGTGGCAAAATTGCTCGGACTTGTCAGTATAGAGATTCAACTCGTGGGTGTCTTCAGTGAGACGACTGTCAGACAGATAATTCAAATGTTAATAGAAAGCATGCAGCTGTTGTCAAGCTTCTGATAAAGATTAACTACGCTTTCAAGACCCACTTTTCAAGAAACAGTCCTTTGTAAGACTGATCTTATAGCAGCTCATCAACCTGCACTGATAGTATCGACTGCTAAATTTGGAAGTACAGGTCAGCTTGCCAGTTTACAGTGTCAACTTCCATTTCCACAGGCTGCATGTTCTATTTTGAGCGCGGGGAGCGAGCCAGTTGAAGTGCAGTCGACTGGTTACATTTGAGGACTTAGCTTAGCCCATTTTTCTGTCAATGAGTGGGTTTCTTCCTCTGAGCTGGTGAGCTGGTGAGCTGGTGTGGAAGTCAGCACAAACTTAAGTGTGAGAAATGGCTCCGAAGAAGGTGCGTTTTGTTGAAGAATAGCTCCATTCAAAAAAAAAAAAAATCCTAGAATGCACTGTAGATTATGTAATGGCAAGTGCTTGTTCTGACTGTAGACGTCTCCACATTGTCTTTATTAGGGGAAAGGAGATGATGCACCAAAGCCACCACCACTGATTGGAAGGTTTGGCACCTCATTGAAAATAGGAATTGTCGGCCTGCCCAATGTTGGGTAAGTAAAAGGTTTTTATTTGTACAGATACTGTGGCCTTCTTACCATGCACTGCATGCACCAACATGTGCTCGGTCTACATTTGAAGTACACTTGGCTCATGTGAACTATACTTAGCTTCTGTAAGGCAGAATGTAAACCGAGCACAGTCAAGTGCATGGCCAAAGGGTTGAAATTAAATGTGTGAATGTAGATACACAGACAACTTCAGACTTAATTTAAATTTTTGACAGGAGTTGTTCAACACCTGCTGCACAGAACACTTCACACTGAAACAAGCAAAAGCATTTTAGATGTACATAAAAGCCAAAAAGTAAAAAAAAAAAAAAAAAAAAAAAAAAAAAAAAAAAAAAAAAAATCCTGCTCCTCAGATGACTGTCCATGGAAAAATTTTCAGTTTTCCTTAACAACCTGAAGAGTGTTCCTAAGGCTGTTAAGTGTCTGGGAACATGTGTGCCCCCACTCGCTAAGGATCAAATCCCACAAGGGCTTTTCATCCCGTGTCTCTCTCTCCATGTGTCTAAACTTTCTTTCGTCTAAGTGTGTGAGCTTTTACAAAATGCTTCAAACATTGCTTATTTTTTCGGGTGTTATAGCAGATAAATGTTGTACTTGAGGGTAAAACACCTAAACAAATGGTTTAAATGAAATACTATAAGTTCTGATCATTTATATGATGTGAATATGTGATCTGTATTCTGTATCCTGTGTCCTTGAATTTAAAAATGGGGGTTTTATTATTACAGTGTATAGTGTGTTTTCAATTAGAGGAAATAGCACTTTCATTTTCTATTACATCTTATTAATGAGAGTTTGTCATGATCCATTTACATCTGAATAACACCGTATGACAGCAATCAACAATGAACCTATATTCTTCCCACCACTCTGCTGTGGTTGCAGAAAAGAACATTCAATGAATGAAAAGCATTAACAAACCCTGCTGTCGATTCATTTTAAATACCCACTTATCACTCGTCCTTGCATGCACTGGTCAAAGGTGAGGGTACATCCTAGACAGCTCTCTCCGGTCAATCACAGGAAAAACACATACTGTAGACTCACCAACACAGTCACTATTACATTCATATGTCAGGCAATTTAGAGTTTCCAGTTCACCTAACCTGTGGCCTTAGTCTTTGAACTGTGGAGGAAAATCTGAGAAACCAGAGGTGACCGACATCACAAAGTGAACACGTAAACACAGGACTTTCAGTGCTTACCGTACCACTGACCTGCCATACCCTGCTGCAGATTTAACAAATGATATGACTCTAATATTGACAGAGATTCAATGCAGTACCTGCAGCATATGTTTGAGGAAACTGTTAAAGTCTCTGCCGTGTTCAAAGCAACATAACCTTCAGCTTTGCACTGTGTCAGGCACTGTTACTCCCCAGCCTCACAGGCACAACCAGTGCTAGTGGCAAATAATAACACGGGAGATCATTTGCAAGTCTGGCAACTTTTCTACATTTTCACTTTAATAAAATTGTAAACTGCTAAAAAAAAAAAAAAAATCATACATATGTGTTGTAACTGAATGACACTGACAAAGAGTCCAGCATGGACATGGGCAGCATCATAAAAGTACCATGTTGTGTCATTATGTATGTCTTTGTGTATCTTTTCCTCTATGGGGAGGGAAGGGCAGTCTGATTTTCATGTAATTTTTTTTTTATAAGAGCAGGGTTTCATGCAGGGTTTCAAGATGTACAAGACATGCTTTGGTGTCTTTAAATTAAAAATCTGCAGCTGAATGAACCAAAAGTATACAAGCTAAAACCCAATCAGATTCTTGTATATACAGTGTGTTTGTTTTTAAGTTACGAGATCTGAAACGGAGTCCCCAGGTATAAGGTGTTATTATAGGAGGGCAGGAGGAGGATGCCTGTATTATGTAAGTGGTGAGGATGTGTCTGAGGAATTTATGTAAATGAAGTTTACAGTGAGCAACTAGTGGTGAAATTAAAAAGGTGGTACTAAACCATAAAGAGGAGTGTGTACAAGTGTCTATTTGAGGTGTTCTCAAATTCCTGTTGGTCAATAGGTGGACGTAATCAAACACAATGCGTGAATGTGAAGGGTGGGAGAACGAATGTGAGGTAGGTAGGAGGGGATGGAGCATTTATTGGCAAGAGGTTTTTATTGGTAAGGTGGACAACTTGACAAGAATGTGTACTGTAGTCACGCAGGGTCATAGTGTATGTGTGTGCTGACACATTGTCTGCATGTCAGACCTGGCCAGAAAAATCTACTTTGTCAGCATCTACCTAGACGTTCAGCAGCATCACTGACAGGGCATAATCACTGGGCAGATCCTACATGACTTTCGTGTAGGATTTGTTCCCCACCGCAGAGCTACAGGAAGGGTTACGGTGAAAGGTCATCTTCTGTTCAGCTGACAGGTCCTCATCTTTTTGTAGCAACTAAAATTTCTTTTTAAGAGAACTGTTGTTTCCAAGCAGCCCAGAAAGGTTTTAAGAAATGAACATTGCAGCTTTTGAAGGGACAGATAAAGGCCAATGATGTATAGATTCAGGTTTCTAAAGAGGTTCGTGCTTCTTCACATGTAGTTTGCCTTAGCTGTTTTGACAGATTTTGGAGCTTATTCCACAAAGATCTCTCTAATATCCAGTATTTTCATTCCTCACCGCAGAGAAACCACAATTTCTTCCTGGTATAAGAAGTAGAACTCATTGAGGTTGTGGCCTGCCGCACCACATTTGTGTCAAAGTACAACTTGTCAACCCTCTCATGGTTTCTTCATGAATGTGCTTCACATGCCAGCGTGCTGTTAGTTGGGCGTAACTGACCGTTCTCCACACACATGGGTAACTTGAGAGTCTGATTCAGCCAACTTTGCAGCTATTTCTACTCTGAGACCAGTGCATGTTGTATTTACTGCCATTCTCCTGCTCATAGACACAAAAAAAGTTTAGTCTTCTCCATCTAACCCTCTATTGGAACATACAGTACTTGACAGTATACACGGGATATGGCCTAACAGCCTCAAGTCAAGTCATTTCTAAAGCTCTCCTCCAGTTCACTTACCTAGACCAAAATGAATTTAATGGCGATACATAGGGGTACCTGCCTTTCACCTCGTGCATCAGCACAGTCTGGTGTTTCTCCTGTCTGACTCTTTGTAAATGTAGCAAATCTAAACTAAGAAACCCAATGTGAACAATTAATCAGCTTGTAAATCTAAATCCCAAAAGCCCAATTTAATGTTTTTTTGCTCAGTTCCTGAAGAGATTTTAAACGGTTCTCATGAATGTTATTCTTAAATAAGCTATCCTATGTTTTTTCTTTTTCCCATTTATACAGAATAGATATATGTGAGCTCAGGGAAACAATCTAACAGTGTCACCAAGAGACTGAATTAGACAGCTTGCATAAAGAGAAACAAGATAATTAAAAGATTAACAGAGCATTCATGCAGAACAACAACTTCAGGTTAGCAAACTACCTAGAGAGTAATCATTTCTCATATGGACTATGGTGTTAATACAAGCATCAACCATAACAAAGGTCATGTAATTTATTAGAAACATAACTGCATTTGAGATGCTGCAAATGTGCATGTTTATTTAAAACATAGATTTACTATCATGTATTGTCCTACAGGTTGCCCTCTGACCCTTTTGAAGAAATGAGTATGAGTAGGAAAAAGCGTATGTGTGACTATTGAATTCCAACAATAACTGCACACTTAATGAACAGCTGTGCAGTGAGTAGTCTACATTAGGAGTACCTGATTTTCCAATTTAATGTTGACACTGGAATTATAAATATTAGAAAGTAATGGCTATGTGTTTTTCTTTTTTGGTTTAACTTTTGATTAGACTTTGATCACCGAGATATTTTTCAGTAGAATAATCTTAAACGATCCCTGGCCCGTCTTCGTGATTTCTATTTAAGTTACTTGCTCTTTTTGGTGATTTTACAAACTCAGCATTTTCTGTTTGCTCATCACATGACTAAAGTATGAAACTTCGGTCATGTGATAGGTGTATACGGGTATGATAAATAGTTCTATCTGTCACATTCCCAGTAAACCCAGTCCAAGTTTTTAGGTTCATACTGGGCCTAAAATGTTTTTTTTTAACTACTTGTATTAAAAGGAGTTTTCACCACCCAACGGTGGAAAAACACTGGTCTAATTTCCTGCTGCAAACTTCTCAGTACACATCACTTTCCTATTACTGATCAACATATTACACTTTTTCTATTTATACATTATTAAGTCACTTTATACAGCTGACAGTGGTTGCAGTATTACTGTGGAAGGCTTTTCTTTTTTTCCCCAAGGTGACCCAAGAAAAGCCTTCAAGTATGTTAGAGAAACAATCTAGCTTTATATAAGGAATTAATGCACGCACTTTAGCAATCTCAAGCAATTTCATGCCTATGGGACTTAGCAAACAATCATTTCAATGTGAAGCACCGAGTGAGGGGATAAAGACGGAAAGTCCTGGATTATAGTTGACTGCCATGCCATTATTACTCCTAGACACTTGCCATTGTCTGTAGATTTTGAAGTACACTTGAGCTGCTTGTGTCGTAGAAAATAAATCTCTCTGTGATCACAACATGGGGCAGCGTTTGGCCGATCCAGTTCAACAGCTGAGATCTATCAGAAGTGTAATTTGACCCTCGATTCCACGTACAATTGATCTATTATGGGATTATCTGACCTTGTAATTGGGTATAGTATTTTTTTAAGGTTTTGTTTCAAGTGCTCAAATATTCAATCTATTAGAATAACCTTTGTCCTTCTTGCACAGACAATAAAAAAAAAGCCAATCTTGCATAATTTACTGAAGTGTTTTAGGATCATTCTATCAAGCTATCAGGCTCTACACACCAGCACTTTTAGATGGATTGACCTCACTGCTGTTTTTTTATTTTCAGGAAGTCAACCTTTTTCAACGTGCTGACAAAGAGTCAGGCTGCAGCTGAAAATTTCCCCTTCTGCACCATTGACCCAAATGAAAGCAGAGTGCCCATTCCAGATGAACGCTATGATTTCCTCTGCCAATTCCACAAACCTGCCAGGTATGGGGTCTCACCGTTCACGTATTATTCACACTTCAGATCTGTAGTCTCTGACGTTCTTCTTGCTATAGGTATGAGAAAACACATAACAATGTTGTTGACATGTAGCTGCCAGTTCTGTATGATGTATGATTGCTGCTCTATTCTAAGGTTTTCTGTTTAAAAAAAAATCTGCAGCATCTGAACCTCGCAACACCTGGTTGTCATACACATTTATAGAGGCTGTTAAAGCGGGCTGAATTCAGATTTGCTGTGCTATACTGACAAATTACTCGCAAGATATCTCTTTTGACTGACAAGAACTGGCTTTCTGAATACCACAGAACATTTCAGTACATGAATTTTAGTGACCAGAACTGAGCTCCTGCTTTTCAAAGAGCAGCATGAGTCTCACTTACATGCGTGTACTCAGTTCGATCCTATGTATGAACTATTCTTTAACTTAAACACGTGCAAAACAGATTCCACTGCTGTTCATAAATAAATACTCTAATAACCGCAGCAATAAAAAAACACTTGTGCAATTAAATGCCATGCAGCTTTGCATCTCCACAGTACCCTGCTTACCTGTATCTGTTTCTTATTGCACAAAACATCCCAGGAAAAGGCCAAAACCATTAATTGATAATTGATCCTACAAAACAAAAACTTCCAGAGTATCCAAAGCATCATATAGACTATTCATGTGTATTGTAGACATCCATTGTTGATCAAAGATGATTAATAATGCATCAGTGAGCTTCGCTGTTGCACTGGTTGACTTGCTCCTTCATAACAAACATGAGCTTTTTTTTAAAAAGTGAAACTACATATCTATGAACCAATGGGTGTGGGGCTGAGTGCCACAGTCGGGGTAGGGAGGTCCCATTGTGAAACCGACTAATCTACCATGGGTTTTGGTCTTTTCATTGGATTTATTGAAAAGACTGTAAAGAAAAATATTTGAAAAAAATTCTTTAACATTCTTTAAAGTTGAGGTCACTTTAGTTATTTGTTTGTTGACTCAACACCATGGTACGTATTCCAACTATAATTCATGGTGATGTTATACTATTGTAATGGGATTTCTGATATTTTGCTCATCGTTTCACACACATGGAGAGTAAAATCATACCTGTTCACATTATAGTAGAATCCAATTCAACAACATCACAAACTAAAACCTCAAAAACTCCTCAGGGCTGGCACCTCTTTGGAACAGGATCAACAACATTTAAAACAAACTGTTTCTCAAGCTACTATTTCTAACAGGACTGTTGTATTGAATTGCAGCACAAACTAATGCAAAGTGGTTTCTGTTTTATTAAAAAGGATATTAAAACGGCTGACCTTTTTTTCCTTTTATTTCTTGGCTTGCAGCAAAGTCCCAGCATTCCTTAATGTTGTAGACATTGCTGGCCTGGTGAAAGGTGCTCATGCTGGCCAAGGCCTGGGAAATGCCTTCCTGTCCCATATCAGCGCCTGTGACAGCATCTTCCACATGACACGTGAGTCAAAGGTGGAGGGTTGCTTTCCAGATCATCAACAAATCACGTTAAACATATAGGCTACTGTGTGTGCAGTTGTATCAAATATTTTGTACTGTAGCTGAACCAATTCCATTGACAACATTTGGCCACGCTAAAAGACTCCACCACAAGGCCTTAGCTGTGCCGTAGCTTTGCCGCTAGGGCATCTTGTGTGGTGGGTGCCAAGATCAACATAAGAGTCAGGATTAATGAAGTCAGACCAAACCTCACATTCCTACTGGGATGCTCCCTGAATGAGAATCGCAGAAGTGGGAAATGAAAGGACCTGCATCTGGTTTAAGCTTCACACACTCAGTATCATGTCCTGAGGCTTGGAAACATTACAAGAACTGTTGAGGAGGACCACCACATGTTATTGTAATATGATTCCTAACGCCACTTTTGATTAAGTTTGAATACTGTGGAGGTAAGTAAGTTATTAATAAGCATAATATGAGAATGAGGGTCTCTTCTTCTTTTCCCTTCCTTTTTGCTTTTTACACCCTGTTGTTTTGTAACAATTATTACAAATGTAATAATAATAGATAAAATAATATATTACTTTAGCTACTACTACAATACAAATAACTATGCTGATGACAATAGTTGTAGTCATAATAGTAAAAAAATCATCTTATATGTTTGGAATGATTAGAAAAACTGCCCTCTCTTACTCTGTGAATATATCACACTGCATATCCCTCACAAGGCAGCCTTCAAATCACTTTCTAAGTTTCCCTCTGCCTCAAGTTCTTCTGTGTCTCTGACATGGTCGTTGTCTTACACAATTAAAGTGTTACACGGTAGAATAATTCAAATTACATGCAGCCACTGAAATGAATGCAGAGGCCCTTCTTAAAAATAGCTGAATTTGTTTGCTGATTGTGTGCTGTTATTGACTTTCCCTCTGTGTGAAAGGAGCTCTGATTAGAGAGTCGGTGGTGGCAGGTATACAACGGCCAGATAGAAAGGGTTAAGATTATGGCCAATTTCCTGTATTGTTCCAAAGTTGTCTGTGTGTTTCACTGACAAGTGTACTACTTTTGTTCCAGTGCAGTTTTCAAATAGCCTTTCTGCATGATGACTGTAGTTTGTGAGAAGTAGAAGGCCACCCAGACTTAAGTAATGATTTACTGAGAGCAGAAGATATGATAAACGGCTCCGTTGTTAGTTCAGTTTTTGCTAAAATACAAGTTAAAAGGATAAGGCTGCCATTATTCTTAATTTTTCTTATTGTGAACAATGCCCACGAAAAGACCCAAACAATGTATTAGTCCATCCACCTCTCAATACTACGTTTTCCAATCCTGTGTGGCGCTCAGTCCCAAGCCGATTCATCCCCACCACAGGTGAAAATATTTAAGAACAGGTCACACATACACTGTAATAAATGAAATAAATTCTACCATGCAGGTTATGATGTTTGAGGATGTAGTTTGTGGTGCTGTTGGAGAGAATTATATTATAAAGAGAGGTGTTATTTAGCCTGCCCTCATCAATATATATAGAGTGGACAAAATAACAGTACCTGTCAGTATAATGCAATACAGTTCAACAGCACAACAAACTACATCCTCAAAAATGATCGTACAGTTGAATCAACACCTCTCGGAAACAGTTTCAATAAGAACTGCAGATTATAACCTTCGTGAAGGTTGAATTTATTTTCGGACTCTTCTATATGACTGCATTCATTTCAGCTTGTGTGCCTAATGAACTGGTAACTGAGTGTATATAGTTTTTTTTTTTTAAAAAGGCTCAATAATTTAGGTAATGATTCTACATTACGTTATTGTCACATACGTGGTTTATGTGTATTTTTATATACATTACATGTAGATGGTTTAAAACACCCACAGTCCCTTTGATGTGGACCAAATGTATATGACAGATCCTCACCCAAAACCAACTCTTTTGTTTCGGTCCACACAAAGAAGACAAACATTCACAACAATCGGAAACAGGATGATCGAAAGCTTTTTCTGTGTGTGTGTGTTTACATCTATCTTCTCTGGCATGCCATTGTTTCCACTCTCGTGAAGTCCTTGGAAACAATGTGGTATGTTTCACAAGTTAACCATTAAACATAGCTGGTTTTGTTTTGTAATTATATCTATCTGGTAGCAGGCAGAATGCAATGCTGAAGCCGCTACTTTTATATAGCTTGATTATATGGTTGTGGGGGGATCACACTTTTCCGTGTCTGGAGTGTTACGTTTTTTGTCTGGTAATTAGTGAAAGGGTCTATAAAGATACTACAGAGAGATGAACAGCGTTAGTAAAGTGAAACGGCTCAATGTGATTGTTAGTGCCAACTGAAGACACAAGCAATTGACCTGAATCTGATGAAACTGAGTTCGAAGTTTTGTTAAACTAACTTTCTGCCAATTCTATTTATGAAATAATTTTGTCGTTTATTTCCTATATTGGTTTACAGATCTTTGACTAGAGGTTGTGAAATTTGAGAAATAGTGAGCAGTTACAAAGTTTTACAAAGACATGAAGGCAGAATACTTTACCATCTTTCCTTTGAAAAGATGAAACTTTTTCCAGGGAGTAGACTGACTGGATTTTCCTCGTGAGTCTGCTCACAAAATTACCCCAGTGGTGTGCACGTTATGAATATTTTTCAACCCTTTATGTCTTTAAAAAGCCTGTGTAAACAGTGGATTTGCTTTCAACAATACCTTCCAAAAATTATAAGGGCACATGATGACATCCTGAAAGCTGATTCTGTAGATTGCCTGGTGTTCCCTGGTCTCATAACCAAATGGTTTGCAGGCTGAGTGTTCCCAGTGCTTCTGCAGTGACTGGAACGTGGCTGGATCCTCACTGTCTGAGACCAGACATAGACATGTTCTACTTCATCTACTCTTCTGTTCCCCGCTAGCAACTCTGCCAGCTCACCTGGCCTTATTCCCAGATGTTTGGTTTCCAGCAATTAGTTGTTTGAATGCTCACACAGTGTCCCCCACATCATCACAGGAAACCTCTAGCTCACTTCTAATGAAGACTTATTTACGGTTGCACGACACTCAGTAAGAATCTAGCCTTAAGATACTGTGGTATAGCACATTTAATCTTAAGGGACTGGCTGTGGTTGTGGGCAGCCGACTGGAAAGTAGCTGTTATTTTTGGCGCAGACTCTTTTCTCACTGTGATATTCATGCTTTCAGCACCTGAACTCCTGGTTAAGTTGAGGCTCTTCCCTCTCCCCCTCTACTGCCTGAAGTAGACACAAGAAAGTCCTCTCATAGTTTTTAGGGAAATAAAGTTGATCAGTTACATGAGATCTAAGCAATAGAGCAGGGCAGGTGTTACAGAAATGAATCGTTTTGTAGAGCTGATCCTTTAGTCTACATATTGATTAGTCGATTGACAGCAACTAATTTGCTAACATTAATTGTTAAAGTATTTTTCAAGCAAAAAGGCCAAATATTTTATGATTTGTCTTTCTTGTCATATCATTTCAAGGGTTGGGGTTTAGATTGTGGGTTAGACAAATTAAAACATTTGAGGACATAAGCTTACAGTCTGTGCAGCTGTGAACATTTTTCATTATTTTCTACCAAACAAGTAATTGACTACATGTTTCAGTTTTTAGTTGAAGCCCAAATCCTTTGCAACAGCTGGCCTGTCTCTGTCCTGGAGTCTCCACTGGATGCCTGATAACCTCATGGTGATGACAAGATCCTAGAAAGTCACTGTCTATAACTCTCCTTAAAACCCACAAATTGTTGTTTTTACACTTCAGTTTTTGTATCGATTAAAAACACAGAACATAATATGTTATTTACAAAGCTTAGAGGTGCTGTTAGGTGGATTTTGTTGACTTGGACTGGATTTTGTTGACAGGCTAGCTGAAAGATGTTAAGCTAAGCTAAGCTAACCATCTGCTCATGGTAGCTTCATATTTACGGAACAGATGGGAGGGTGGTATCAATCCATTCATGTAATGCTTGGCGTGATTATGAATATGCATATTATCAAATCTGTAAATATTTCCAATAAAAATTGGTAATACATAGTTAATATTCACCAACTGTGAATGTAACCCTGGACTTGTGCCCACAAGAGATACTACTGGGCTCCTAGCTCAGAGGAGAATGCTAAAATAGCATTCACAAATGTACAGTGTGGCTTTTTCCTGAAAGTAATCAATGACAAAATTCTTAGTCCCTTGTATAAATGTATGAAAGGTCCAATCAGTATTTTATGATCATATCAATACACTTCAAGAGCAGTGGATAGGAATAGGAAATAAGTATTTTAGTATTTATAATGCAATTGAAAATACTTAGATTTTGCTGTCTAGTGTTAGTTTGTGTATTAAAAGACCTGTCAAAGTGTCAATGTGTTACCAGGTTGTAACTGTCTATTTCACATTTTGGTGCCGGGTCAAATCAAAGTGTCAGTAAACAGCAAATTGACAACAATTGTGCCTCTCAAGAAATTGGTCCTATTTACTCTCCCTTTTAAAAATCTCCCATATCCTCAGTGCCTTCCATATGATTTATTAGTAACTACCTGCTGCGACTTTGCTGAACCTAGTAAGATGTTTGACAGTTAAGATGTTTTAATTGTGTTTGGTAGGTCTCATTCAGTTGTCAGCCCACACTATAATCTAATCGCTTATAGTCAACAAATCAAACTGATTGTAAAGCTACAGGCGTTAAAAGCAAACTGTATTGACTACTCAGACAGAGATAAAGATTTATGGCCAAACTGCCTCCTCACTGACGCCAGGAATGGCTGCTATCCAGGACCTCTGCCTTATCACTCAGCAACTCACACATTTTCAAACTTGACACACATCCAAAATACCTCAGCCAGCCCACTGAATTCCATATATGTGAATATCTGAACAGATCACGCAATGAGTGAATTTGTCAGTAATTCGGTTGCGCAATTGGTTGTTGCATTGATACATTAATTTAACCACCAATTTATTTTTGCTGAAAGTCTTTTGCAGATAGATT